CCTCAGGAATGGCAATGCATGGGGGGTATCATGGGCGAAATAGTATACTCTGTTATGTCCATGGTACTGCTCATGTCTATAGGTGACGGTTACCACTTTCCATCAGGTGGGCCGTCAGCTTGATTGCCATTCTAAATTGTATAAAAAAAATTAATCATTACAGACAGGAATCTAATTTAGTTAGACATATTGATAACTAAGTAAAGACGGATAAAAATACTATATTTTAGAATTCTTAAGAGCTTTTTTTTTTTAAGTATTAAGTCAATTTATTTCAAAAACATAATACCCATTTAAAATCGACAAATTACAAACAACACTAACAAGGGCCTTATTCAAATATCACCCTCGTCCTGAAAATCCTTCATAATTATCTTTATTGTTCGCAAACTCCATAATCCTCTTTTCTGTCAATATCTTTATTTATTCGGTGAGTTCCTTCCTTATTAATTTATTTAAGACTAGAATTATGAATTATAGTTTATTAGGGTTTTGAATAATTTGTTATTTTTTTTCTTAATTTTTTAATGAAAGAACCTATATTAAATGTATAATTAAATTGAGATTCATCTTTAACCCTCTTTCTTTTTTTTAGTCTTATTTTTTTTGTTACACCTTGATCAGACGCTACTTTAATTATTCCTGACCATTCTTAGGTTGCCTGGATGAGAATTGTTTCCTCTTTGTCTTGTTTCTTGTAATTAAAATGTTTTTTATGCACATTATCAACTTATGTAATCTGTATCATTCTTTGAGGGGAACTATAAAGAATTTTCCATTTATTCAATCTTATTTGAAAAATACTTGATTTTTTTCGTTAGACCTTGGTTAAAATATCATTAAAATCAGTATATCAATTTTTGATTATTATTTTAAATATTCAAATTTATTATTCGTTGTGCATATTTAAACAAGGGTGTTATGTCTTAATTAGCTATTGCCCACAACTTCGTACGCTTGGATTTTAGAAAAAGGAAAGCTAATGAAATAGAACAGTTTTAGATGGCATACAATTTTATTAAAAAAGACGTTTTGCAGAAATCATTTCCAACCTCCTTTCCTGAGACATCAATCATATTCATTGATCGTATAGTTACAATAACATGTCAATTATTCATATTTCCCTTCCTCTACAAGCTAATTATCGACGAGATAGCTCATTGATTTCCTACAATTCTGATAACAATACGTATTGTTGTTACATATATATTCACTACAAAACATGATCTAATTATAGAATAGCTTACTTTATATGAATCCATAAGTTCATAAATATCTCAAGAGAATATATAAAGAAATGTTATTTTTGTACTTTTATAAAAGTTGCACGTCCTTCCTTTTTTACAGCCTATTTCTATTCAAAAAGACAGTTATATATTTTATGTTGAGTTGTGATATACTGGGCCATCGTACATTTTGCCGAGTCGTGCCAACCTTTACCAGACGTCCATACCAAAGTGGGTCAGACAATACGAACAGGAAAATTGCCAATTTTCTACAACTTAAACTTAGCCGGGATCAATAGCTTTGGTCCTTCAATGTTACCGTATTGATCTTAAACCCCTCTCCTGTATGCAAATTCTAGTCAACATAGTGATAGAGTGTTTAGCTTTTCTATAAATAATTATCACTTAATACTTCTTAAGTGGTGACCGATCGATGGTGTAACGGTTTAATCTATACCTTATTTTATTTTCCAATGATCGCGTTATCAATTCCCACACAATACAAACATTCGTATTCATGAGTAATTAATTTGGTTTTGGTATTTTTTATGTGTATATATATATATATATATATATATATATATATATATATATATATATATATATATATATTAATTTACAAATATATTACATCCTTTAGACAGATACTAAACGGCGCCATATAATTTATCCAATAATTTTATTTATTACTACCTGCTCTTTATTCTTTCATACAAACCTTGTCCTGACAATTACAAACAAAACAAAAAATAAGTACGCAATTCTGAAGTGTTGTTACGTTTATACATATATTCTACAATTGATTTTTATTTAGGTATACAGATTATTTATATAAGTTATAAACGTCTGTAAGAATAATATAAGGATCAACATTTGAAACGTTTATGGTAAAATGTCTTATGTGTAGTATCGCTGTATTAAAAAAAAATCTGATATTTTCTGAGCATAGTAATGTATCTTTAGAAAATCATTGGTTATAGTATCATTATTTGAATGTTATTCAAGTGTAATCTCCGGCCGCAAACAGTAGGTACTGGCTATAAAATGGGGGTGGTGTAAGCGAGGGTAATGAGGTAACCCCCTCCTTTGTTTGCTAGCGTTCAAGGTCACGTATATCCTATTGCCGCGTCTATATAATATATAGAGTTTATTATTCTGTATTGTTCTTCTAAAAATAAAATAGTGTTGCTATTACAAATAATATTAACACTAAATTATCTTATAATAATTTATTCATTAACACTCAAAAAAGCAAATCTAAACATTCAGTTAGGGTAAACAGGGGGGAAAGGGATTGTTAGTAATGGAGACTGAGAATCCCATTGCTAACAATATACCCAACCAAGTCGACCTCCTCGCGGTTCTCCGTGGAAACTATCATGGTTAATTCTTGATGAATTCATCGTGATGGGCTAACTGGCCTGTTTTCATTCTCATCTATCACCCTTCACTGGTGCTCCGCCAGCGTATCCCGTTAGCACAGGCAGGGTTACCATACCATTTTCACCCATGAAAAAAAAAGTTAGGGTAAACACAGCAATGTAAGTTCTTTATCGACTGTATCAGTTATTTTTAATGGATACATACATTTGTGTATGAATAATACCGTGAACATCGCAAAACGATCTACAAAAATTTGTCATGTAAACCAAAAAAGACTATTACGAAATGGCAAATTCATGAAAATTCAGGAAAGTGATACAAAATTACTATTTGGGTAGACTATTCAACTAGATAATAAAAGCAGAATATAACAACAAACTGCCCAGGAAAATAGTCCCGTTAACTATTCATTTTAGACACCGTTTGCGCCCCGTTTTGTCTAGTATGGGAATGGTTAAAAATGCAAAGCCTGCTAGGCACGTTGCTTGGGTTGGATACGTAATACACGAAGTGGCTTAATATTTTGTGAAAAGTTCACGGCGCGTTTAAATCTAGTTAAACTCTGACATCCAAAATGTAAACATTATAAACCAATATTGCTCACAACAAAATTGATACTTTCTGAAATTGATACTTATTTGGATATGAGAAAAATTAAAGTAATATATTTATTTTCTAATAATATTTATTAAATGATACATTAATCGTCAGATCGCCCAAACTTCACTATGGACTGAAGACAATTACTAAGAATTAAAGAAACAATATCGCCGTCTTATAAATTAAAGCCGTGCCATTAGACAATCATTCTAATCTACACTTGAAAAAAACTCAACTTGAATTACAAAATTATTTTTCCATAACTATATCCACTTAGCATAGATGGTGACTACATTACTAGTTGATTGTTTTAAAAAACATGATTGGTTAACTATTAATTCAATTGTTAGTTTATCAGTTCTTAACTGCAAACGTAAGGTCACTACTAAGACTTACTGCCTAACTTCGATATGAGTAACCTTCGCCTAAGTCTCAGGCGAAGGTTACTCATATCGAACTTGCCTCACCTTTTGTTAACTTAATTCTGCCAAGGGTTAGACCCTCTGCGTTAAAGTGATAATAAAAATTTATCGTCTATATGATTTTAAGATTTTTTAAAAAGATAAATAAGGTCTTTATAACGTAAATTTTCATTTGTTTGTATATTCTTTATTGTACATTCTTATTTAACACTGATATTAGGTTATAAAAATGAGAAGGTACGCAGATGAATTTATCCCTTGAAGGGATTCCTTCCAGTCTACCTTGAGAACCCGGAAGCAGAAAGTATCTGTAGGGTTAGTGCATAATAAACTATAATTAATAACTCAATATGTATGCAAAACACACACATATATATATATATATATAATATATATATATATATATATATATATATATATATATATATATATATATATATATATATATATCATTCTAGGAGGGAGTTCCAAAGTCTATCAATTTGCATTGTAAAGGATTCACTGTAGAAATAGAAATTATGGATAGGTATTTTTTCTTTCTGTATCTTTTACTCAAAAGTATTTCATATTTTTATAAGAAGGTTTATAAAAATTAAGTACTCTACGAGATATTAAAAAATCTTGTTATTTTAATACATTATTGATTTGTTAATATGAGACTTGTCCTTGTGGCAAAGACGGGCGACGCTCTATATTAATATTCAGTAGTCTAAGATCGACCTAAGTAATTTGAAAACCTAGGAGCCTGGATAGAGCCCACTAGACTCTTGACAACTTTAGGCTAAAGTGAAAAATCTCGAGGACAGCAGTTTAAGCAGCAGTGTTCCAAATTAATGAAACAACCATAACATGTAGGCGTTAATTTAATACTTTCATTAAACTAAACAACAACGAGATGTTCGAACTAATTTCACCCTTATTTCTGTTTTCCGTCATTGCGCGTGCAAAAATTGGATAAAAAATACATGGAGAGGAGAAGAATACATTTTTGTTTTCTGTTGTGGTTGGATGGATCAACAAGGCTTTATTAAAGCCACGTGTAAGCTTGAAGGGCATTCGGAAGAATCATCTTCCGAATATTAATGACAAAAACATTGTTTTTCTGAACTCGGGGTAATAATTTAATTCTCAATATACCTATTCTCAATCTTACTTTAAGAAAATTATTTTTTAAGGATCTTTTCATACCTCAAATGATTTAAAGATTCATGATGACAATGAGAATCCATTAAAAAAAAATATGAACTGTTTTTCGTTATTAGCTGATTATGAGATTCCTTTAATATTACAGTTAAGACCAAATTTAAAATGTCTGATGATTATCATGTTACATTTTTTTTATATACAAAACGTTGCTGTGTTGTTCCAGGATGCCTTCAGCAGCGCCACCAGCGGAAAATGGCGCGCCGCGCAGCGAACTCGAACAACTCCAGATGCGCGCTGGACAAGTCACCGATGAGGTCAGCATTATGTTTTTTTTTTTTTTTATTTCTTAAAATGGCAAACGATAACCTAAACGATCGCCTAAATATGCACACCATGCACTTCACAGAATATGCTGTGATGCTCATGGTACCCCTCATACGTTGCCATTCCTGAGCTATACCTCCATACTCTATAATTTCAGTGCTATATCCTACTTTTCAAATCGAAACAAAGCCGTTGCTTCTTGGCAGATACATAAGTGAGACATGTACCAAAGCAGACAACTTTTGTACAAAGTTCCTCGCGGAATATTATTAATCGTAATATTTTTTATATTTATTTGAATTAATGAATTGGATTCTCCTTTCTTTCGCTTTTGATTACTTTAAATAACAAGAAGCAACGACCCTCAATATGTTGCAGGAGATTGATAAAAACCAATGGCTAAACACCTTATCACATTTGCTTCTTCGATGTTTAGCAAAGTAGAATGAGTAACTGAAATAATAACAATAATTGATGTATGAAAAATATAATAGGTAAATTATTGTATTTAGCAAATGTTATATTTTATTTAATATGCTGTAATGAATTGCAAATAGATAGATATATAATAAATATAAACAATTTCATTACGGTTTAATTAACTTTAGTAGAAAGAAAATTTATTTTCTTTCAAGAAAACTTTAATTTAGTAATTCATCTACTACCCATTCAGAATATAATTTCAGCTGAGAAAAGTAGGCGAAAAACTTAGTTATTACTTTTTTTTAATGTTAAATTTTATGAATTTATGTGGAAACAAACTACCAATCTACATCATAAAAATTAAGATATTACATAAATTATTAATAGAATAAATCAGTTGCAGTAATATATTATCTTTCTAAAATTTCAGTCGTTGGAGTCCACACGGCGCATGATGCAACTATGTGAAGAGGTGAGTTCGTATATATTCACATATGTAATTATTTATATAAGACACATATTTGATATCAATGATAATCTAAATAGAACTGTCTAGAAATATAGGGACACAGAATATAAATTTCGTTCATTATCACCCAAGGACATCAAACTAATTAAATGCAATAATTTTACAAAAACTATATTCCGTGACAGTTTTATTATACATAAAGATACCTATAATTAAATTAAAAGGGAGAGTGACATAGTAGAAATGTCGAGAATACCTCCCAAATAAGACTATCTCATGTTTGTTAAGTTTATTAATAAAACCTGTCTGTCGTTTACGTAACGAAATTAATTTTGTCAAGAAATTGATATAAATAACGAACATTAATTGAATTCTAATAGTGTTTTAAATTAAAATTCGTTTTTATATCAAGTTCAGTCTTGAGATTTCTGTGCAAAAAACATAATTTAAATAATGTGTTATCTTTATAAACTGATCTAATTGATTTTACAAGCCAACGAGAATACTGGAAAGAGTTCCCATGTCTATTGCTAATTTAGAAATTAATTTAGATGATAGATCTGTGCGGACTCGTAGATGCGTTTCAGTTGGAGTTAAACGTTTGTTTCCCCTCATAGTTTATTTACGTTGAGTTGTTATGTTGGTTATGTGATTATTTGTGACCATCTGTGAGAGAGGTGTTCTCGATGCGAGGGAGTGAGGGGTATAGCGGAAGTGTCCTGGACAGCCCCAAGCTCGGTTTGGTCTCCGACGCCCGTCCCACAGTACCCCCTAGGGCGCAGCCTCTGCTATCCCTGGCTGTTGTGTATCGATGTCGCTAAATATAATTTTTATTTGTATTAAATGTATATGTATATCTACCTATTGTAGTTCTTCGGTTCCAATTTCCCGTTTTATTTTGATATCCTTCAATTATAATATATCATATATAATCAGTATTATATGTTATTATAACCATACATAATGGGTGTTGCATGATCCGTGCCTTAATTGTGTCCGAAAATGTTAGAGACCTCTATAGCCCTTTATGTTGTTCGTAGTATTGTAAATTTTATGTGATTAAATTTAACTTTCTGGGCAATCCGGCCCTTGGAGTTGACAGTTAATTTATAAAGTAATTACCAAGATTTGAAACGTGATCACATTTACTTGACACATAATTAAACTGATAAATAATATTACCGTAAATTAGTTAACCGTCAACTCTCGATATATTCTGCCCAATTTGCTGTTTTTGGTTCCAAAGCATGAAGCCCATCATTGACAATAGAGAACATTCCAAGTCCTACTATAGTTTGAAAATACTTCTCGGATGTTAGTTATCCTTTAGTTATGTAATTTGTCCCCTGACGTGCGCTTACCTGTCTGGTTGATCCATTGTGCTTGGGCCTGCTTTCGAAATGAAACCCTTGTACCTACTTGGACGGCAACTCGTACCACTCACTATAACCTGGACTTTCGAGTAACGAATCCGCCCCCGAGGCTGAGTCACTACTCTCATACGCACCTTCTGTTACTTTCTTACTGTCTTTCTGATATTTATTCCTATACTCTTCAAAAGCAACATCATAAAATATTCTATCAATAATTTAATCCTTGTCTTTCTCTCGAACTTGTTAAGTTTCTAACATCCTAACACTGACAACTGCCGAATGGTTGCAACACATACTAAGATCAGTGTATGTTGATGTTCGTTCTATCCTGTTTTAGTTGACTCTGTATCTTAGGTTTCTGTGTAGTGGCTGCTCTCTGTTGTTGACTGTAAATCTATTATGTTGTATGATTTCATGCCTTCTCGAACATTCACAATACTATCAATATGGGCGCGTACACACCCCCGTACCTGCCACTGAACTCCAACAAATATATCGAGATACACCAGTTTTAACTCTCACACAAATACAAACCAATGAAATATTATTTATGTTTTATCAGTACCTAATTAGTACATAATTATCCACATTGCTGTATTATTATTGAATGTATTAATTATTTTTATTACTTGTACAAATTTTGTTATTTTATTGGTTTTTGGTGTTTTATGTGTTAAAATATTATTTTATTAATTACATTATAGATATTTCTTTTGTTAATAAATACGGATATTTTTCGTCAAGAATTGTACGCGCATACAATTATTTACAATGATAACACATAATATATGTAAACATTGAGGGTATGATGTCAACACTAAACAGACTGTCTCTACTCCAAACCACACAGATTAGACATTAGGAGGTAATCTTCACATCACCAACTCTTATGACATGTCACAAGAAATGTAAAATCGGTAATGTGGAATACGTCCTTTTGCCTGTACATTGTATTCTACGCAGCGACTTTATACGAAAGATAATTGACTCTACACATGTACTGTACATGAACACGTCTACATGCTGCGTGTGTGCGACGCGACACGATCGACAGCAACTGTGTCGTGAGTCGCATTCGCGTCCCTCGCATGCCCACTGTCCACTCACTTCACTGTACCCCTCACAACTAACATGCTCTGTGACTTTTTGTTTCTGCGGCGTAGAGCAAGGAGGCCGGCATTCGTACTCTGGTCGCTCTAGACGACCAGGGAGGTGAGTGATCTGCAAAATTTGCAACACTACATTATTTACAATTTTATCTTTTTTACTTTTCTCGCTAATCTTATTCAAGCGCCGTAGGGTTTTCAGCCGACCCGAAGACGGGCTCGTCGAAATAGAAGAGTTAAGGGGGTATCGCATTGAATTATTAATTTAAAATTTCATCACTGCTAACTCAATGCAAAGGTGCGGGCATCCACGGAGACTTCTACGTTTTACAATTGATAACTCTTACACACGGATCTGATCATCATCTGGTCAAGGAAAACCCACATCTTTGTATGTTTTGTTCGTTACGTAGATTTTATACACCACTGCACTACTTAACAACGAGCTCTATCTCTTACTAAATCAGGCAAATTGAACGATTCGACATAATATACAAACGTAAATATATATTCGGTTGAACTGATACTTATACATTCTGCATTCCAGATGTCGACTCTAAATTAACAACTTTACCTAAATCACATGAAACGAATATATGAACGAGCAAAGTAAATTCGAGACGCTTCTCCTCAACGCACGACTCTTAACATCACACAGAATAATCATGAATCATATGAAACTGAGCACAGATGAAACTGAATCTGGTTTTACTTGCAAGCTTCACTGCATGCATGTCGTTGTGGATCGAGTAGTGTGTGTTAGCGGCGAGCGGTCGCGGGCGGCGCGTGTAGCTGCCCCGCGGCCGCGTGGGCGCAGGCACGCGCACGCGCACGGACACGGGCACGGGCACGGGCACGCCAGCTCGTGAGCCGTGACACGCGCCGGCCGCGCCGCTCGCACGCACGCGTGCCGCACGCAGCCGCCCGCCGCCGCCACGCCCGTAGCGCGTCACGCGTCTCACGCCCCACGCTCCACGCCCCACGCCCGCCGCCGCCACGCCGCACCGCACCGCCGCACCGCGCGCGTCTCGTGCGTGCCGTATCCTTCCGGCGCACCGCACCCCCCACCCACACACCCCGATACTCTCTCCTACGATATATTATTTTGATTTGTATTTTATGTATAGAGCGAGGACGCCGGGGGGCAAGCGCTTCATATGTTGAGTCACCAGGGCGGTAAGAGTTAAAATGAACACTGGGTAGTCGAAACGTGAGAACGTCTGTGTTGAATGTGCAGTTAACTAAATATTAATCTCTTTGTTTTTCTTTGACGTTTCTCTTAAATAACGACTTATCTCAGATCAATGTTGCGTGTGTTTCTGTTTCGGTGGGGATGACTGAAGACATAGTGTAAATAGATAAGCCCGATGGCCGTTCGTTGCTAATTGTCGCAAAAGACTGTTACTCTATCTTTTGCTGAAGATTTAATTTGAATGAGCTGCGCAATCTGTTTAGTTCTTCCGTTGATATTGATCGGAACGCTTTTTAATAGGTATATTTATTTATCTTTCCGAATCTACTGTTCTCTTCTCGTAATGAACTGCGGTACTGATATGAATGCGCGTTTACAGAGTGTATCTGTTGGACGTATAGATTAAATGGTATACGCCTTCATCTCCATGGCTAGCAGCGTACTGTTAATGTTAGCTCCGTAGGTCTGTAACTGTTAGCTCGATGCGATCTGTGTCTGTCTGCGAGGCCGCAGCTCCTCGCCACACTACATATTAGTTTGTTCATTTCTCTTCTTCAACTAAATCAATACTTTGCTATATTCACGTTTCATTTAGGAATGGCTTTATGGTTACGCTCATTTGCTAAGTTGATTTATTTTTTTCCATAATCACCGGCGAGGTGGCCGTCCGGCTGCGCTGTTAGCGGCCGACGCGCCACTGCGGCCGTATTCATGTATCGTTTCTTTTATGTTTAGTTGTCAGTTTGAGTTGTGTTCAGTATGAGTAGTCCCGGCGGCGCCCGCGCGGCTGCCTGCGCGCGCGCCGCCCCCGACTCCTCACCGCATTCGTTTGGCGAGCTATAGTGACATCATTATTGTGTTGTAGAGTCACGAGGTGGGCATGAAAACCCTGGTCATGCTGGATGAACAGGGCGGTAAGCATCCAGTATAGTACCTACTATTTTGCATCACATTTTAGTAAAGCTTCTGTCTGAAATGCCAGTTCAGATAATTTGTGAAAGTTCATTAAATGGAGATGACTCTTATAAAATTGAATATCGATTGATATGTGCTAACAATATATTTATAATGGATAAAAACCGAAGGTAAAAACAGTTTATCATGATCATATTAAATAAAACTAGCTAATAAACTGCATCAAGCTGTCTCTGCAGTCCCGTATTCTTCCCTTCATGATGCGGGACTCGGAGATTATCTAATTTGATCTATTCTGTCCTTTCTTTAGTTTTTTCTCACGCATCTAGCTATGCACGTCTTTTTAAGTCTTGATGTTGATTGCATGAGTTTTAGTATTTATGAATTTACGATTGACATTCTAAATGTTAGCCACTTAAGTATGGTATTATCACTTAGTTTAGCACATACATCATTTAATTCAAGGTAAAGAAATATTTTTATTATAGATTTTACCTGATCAAGTGTAAGACATATATGGAAATAGGTACCACCATGACATGAATACCATAATACGTTTAACTAACTAGATGCTTTAACTGTAAATTTTAAATAATAGAATTGCCCTAAACACTGATGGTTCTTAAAAATATGCATGTAAATTAATAGTTAAAAGTAAATATACATACATTCATACAATAATGTCTTACATTTTGCTCGGGTTACTGTCGAGAGCGTTGAGAATTTACAAACGAAAATTTAATGATAAAGTTTAACGCGATAATTTTTCATAAACAAAAAGTAGGGGCTTGAACACAAAGTTGTGCTGTGTGGCACAAGGTCGGTTATAACACGTCTATTGGTGTGTGTGGACAGAGCAATTGGACAGAATCGAGGAGGGTATGGACCAGATCAATGCGGACATGCGCGAAGCGGAGAAGAATCTCTCAGGAATGGAGAAATGTTGTGGCATCTGTGTTCTACCATGCAACAAGTATGTATGATAAGGAATCGCGATTGATCTCGAATAAAGGAAATAAGCTAGGCAACCGTTAGCGATGTCACATCTTGCAAGCGAATTTTCACAACTCAAACATTGCTTAAAAATAAATCAGTTTGAAAAATAATACGTACTTAAAACAAAATACTACTCATGAAACCATACTATATATGTAATATTTTGTCTATAATAAAACTAAAGAACTTTTTCCAAAATAAGTTTGTACCTTGCGTATAAACATTCGGTTACAATCCGGTTACGTTTGTTAAAAAAATTGTCTAGTTTTAAAAAAAATATTGGGTTTCGGCTCATTATATACGGTCAGATTAAACCTATATCAGTTTTAAACTTTATTCATACACACTTACTAAATAAATTATGGAATAAGATTTTACATTTTAAGCTGACTTTGTTTTAAATCTGTTTTTTCCTTTAAATAAAGATAAAATTAATGGCAACACATTATTTCACAATAAGCTTCAAATAAGATTAATCCAGTTAAAATTTTTAATGTACCCCTTATAATATTCCAGGGGTGCATCCTTCAAGGAAGACGACGGCACGTGGAAAGGCAACGATGACGGGAAGGTGGTCAACAACCAGCCACAGCGGGTGATGGACGAGCGCAATGGTATAGGACCGCAAGCCGGATACATAGGCAGGTCAGTAGTGATCGAGGATGAAAGAATATTAATTATGTAATATATTAATTCGACTGTTATAATATTGGAATATTATATATTTTTTCTGTCTTAATTCCCAAGTCTCTTTGTGCACCTGAATACGTCGCAACTAAAAAGATACAGTATGGAAAAGACTGTTAGGTGTGTAAGAAAGAAAATTAAAGTAGTCAAATAAATGGCGCCGCATGATGAATATAAAAGTAGAAGTTTATTTAATCCTATGGGATAATATACCAGACTAGCATATTCTTGTACTAAACATTAGTGTCAAGTCAATTAGCAGTTTAGATATTGCCTCATACATTATTCGAACATGTGGAAAGAAATACCAATAAAAATAAGTATATAAAGAAGAAATTCATGTAGAAGAAGCTTTGAAGAAGTTTAGACAATGATTCAATTCAACGTGAACAAAAGCTAGAATTTAATATAACCTACGAAAATGGCGTTACAGAATAACAAATGACGCCCGCGAGGACGAGATGGAAGAGAACATGGGCCAAGTGAACACGATGATCGGCAACTTGCGCAACATGGCGCTCGACATGGGCTCCGAACTCGAGAACCAGAACCGACAGATCGACCGTATCAACCGCAAGGTAACCGCGTACAACGACGCCTGTGTTCCGATTTTATCAATAAGCGTGCACGCGATTTTCCTATCGAATCTCGATGTTGTGGGCTCTCAACTATCTTTCAAAGCAATCGTGTTGGATTTTTTTATTGATTTTTCTCTTTCTACACATGAGTGTTTTTCTTCAAAATTTAATAACCAAATTAAGAATTAATCCAAAGTGTAAATTGTATTTAACTTTTTCTAATCAAGTAAAAAAATATTTAGTGTGTCTTTTAAATCTTCTTTCAAATATTTCACGTCGCTTGCACACTTGATCCTCTTTAATTCAAAACTATCTTATTTCAGATTATTACTTTTTCTATGACCTCTCAATGTTTTTAATAAAGTAAATGTCATATTGAAAAAATTATAATATGTATTAGGCATATTATGAAATTTTTCCAATATACCTATACTTTCTATGTTGTCATAAGTCATTATCATTTTCACCATCCAGTTGTACTGCCTGTCACCTTAGTAATTAAAGTGAATAAAATCTATCGTCGATCTATATTCCTCGATCTATGTGCGACTTTCCTTGCTTTATTGGCCTTCAACATTTGGTCACTCGCTTATTTGGCAAACTGTCACTTAGCTCTGCCCTTTCCAGTCGAAGCATGTACTTTCATATCTCCTTCGTAGTGTATGCGGTTAGAATTGATTGGTTGTTGTGAAAATTATTCCTCTAAGTGTCGTCTGATGGAAATTCATGAGACATGTCCACCGACAACTCCAGAACACATATGTCCACACTGTCATTGTGTTACCGATTGTTGACTAGTATCACATCCATTGGACTGACTAACATATCTCCTACTTAGACCTCATCAGTAACACTGTCATTCACTTCAAGTATATAACATAACATGTGTTTCCGTTTCAAATTACAGCGACTGTACAATACACTGTCCAATTTTTTCGGTATATCAAATCGATCATTTAGTTACAAAAATTGATAAAGATTTTTGTAAGTTATACAGTCGCTGTGAATGAACTCGAAGCAAAAACAATACGCGTGTTGTCCTTAGGGCGAATCGAATGAAACGAGGATAACGCTGGCGAACCAGCGCGCGCACGAGCTCCTCAAGTAAACGTCGGCGGCATTCACACCAACACACAAACACACACACGCGCGGTCTCGTGGTCGCTGTCGGCGCAGGCGCCGCCGGTTGCGGACACCAACTTAATTATAGCGAATCTACAACTGAGGCTTAGACATTGCAACCCGAAGCGAAATAAAGACATCTCTAACACAAATTAATATAAAATCACAGTTTAAAGTCAAATATAAACCACTATTTATATTGGACTTTTTAAATAAAATTCTCATTTCATCTTACAAAAATTTCCTGTTACAATATTTTAGTATTTTGTACATCTGTCCTAATAACGTTTAAACTAAATGTCTACTTATGCCTACTTTTATATAATTGTGACACGCTTCCCATGGTTCTGCAACCGGCGATAACTATTTATCTTTCCAATATTTTGCTTAGTGTTTCTCGTATCCAGAGAAACGAGTACATATATCGAAATATAACCTTAAGATCTTGATGTATTCGCGTACTGTATTAAGTGAACACTACCTTAACGTGTAAAATATTACCCTGTCCGTACTATACTACCATCAAAAGCTCAAAATGTTGAAAGTAAAAAAATATATATTTTATACACAACGTACTTTTACGTGCTTCACTTGCATAAACGTAATACCTGTTATTGGGGTCGATTCTGAAGTACCACTTCACTAAATCTATCTTTATAATAAAGTTTCAATTTGATATCACAATGAAAACATTTACAGAACCATTAATGAAGTAAGTTTCTTAAAAGATTTAAGTTATTATATTTATATATTTTTTTAGTATATGATGGTTTATAAAACAGTCAAATTGAAATATTTGATTAAGTGATAGGTTTACAATGTTAGCGGCTCAGAATCGACCCCATTGTTGTTTTCCGTCTCACACGTAATCGTGCGTTTTATATAAAATTAAATCTTAAAATAGTCTTTTGGTGCTCATTTTTTGCAGTAGGCCATTTGAAATTGCAAAATTATCAAATAATCGCACTATGTAATTATGTTATTAAATCGAATGTCTTAAATAACATTCTGTAGGTGGTTAGGTAATTATTGTGTAAGGATCGATGATTAAATGTGAATCATTGATAAGGATGGCTTCCTTGCTATTTTGTACGCAACGTCTCGATTTCCCGTCAAATTCTGTGATTTTCCATTACTATCGGCATTTTACTTAAGACATTTTTTCAAAATGTATTCTGAAATTAATAGCTATCATTTTATCTAGACTTCATTATAAACAATAATCCTTATAAGTTTAAAGTTTTTGTGAAGACTATTGAAAACAAAACTTGATAGCGAAATTGTCTTATAACTTCTGCAAACATAATAATTAGGTTTTATGTTTATAAATGTTAAATTTCTAGCTAAACTATAACTTTAAAACTATAACTGTTAAATTTCTAGCTCTGACTTCCACGAGACAGGCATTGCCTAGTGTGGGGTCATAGTTATATTGTACTACAGGCTAACTTTGTTTAAGAAAATAAAATTTATTATTATATGACTATAAGCTACGTTTTGAAATAATGTCCTATGTAAATGTCAATGAAAAAGCGAACAATTTGACAGTAGATTATAAACTTGCAATTGTTAGCGAGGTGGCCTTTAAAACGGGCAAACCCATTATTTTGAGAATACACATTTTACCCCTTGTTAACATGTAGTGTTACTGTTACTGTTGCTAGAAAAAAAAAAAAGAATATTGAGATAACGTTCATGCAAAGTTTTTAATGATTAAATTTTCACTGCATTTTTTAATTCTAGTAGGTTGTTTTTTATAAACCAATTGGTCGATAAGTGTTGGATTGGTCGTATCGAGGTGAACGATAAAAACACATAACTATTTCTGTTAAAATACATAATTGAAAGCTGCCCACTTAATAGCTATGTTACATATTGAATATACTAAAGTTTTAAGTATAAAGAGAAAACTATAGGCTGTTTTTAATCCGTATCTCGTGACAATGACACTAAATACTTTATTTTAGAGGCGGACGTTTATGTGGGATTTTTGGATGGACCGATAGGAATGAGTTGATATGTGATAATAGTTCGAAACTAAGGATTAGTATTTAGCCATTCAAGTCTTCGTGGAATCTAATAAAAATCTGAATGCATTAGATCTCATTTTTTATTTCTAATACTGTTCTCATAGGAGCATGTATGCATGCAAATTTATATAACGGGGAACACAACTAAATTTCAAATTGTTTTAATTTATTCAAATAGATTTATAAAAAAAAGAAAATAATATCAATGAGTACTTATTATTCCATTCATAATATAGGTACTTAATATTATATACTTTATATAATATCATTGATTTTATTAAAAACAAAATATCGATAAGTAAAATATAAAAGGTTCATAAAAATACCGAACCTTTCTTGTACATATCCCTAATCGCATACATATCTGCTTCTATGGACATAGTATTCGCTAAATATTTATATCTAGTAATAAAAATATAGCTTCTTAACTTAGCGATAAATATATTTAATTAATATAAATTTAGAATTCTTATTTATTTTGAAAAAAAGAATAAACAATTTAATTTTCAATATTTATTTTATTATTTTCCCTTACAGCTTTAATTTCTCTTGTTTTGATAATTGAGACCAAAATTATTTAGAGAATTTGGATTCGATGCACCAATGGAACGTTTTGATAAGAATAATGAATGAAATTAAATATTCAAATCGTTACACTACAACAATTTATATCGCTAGTATAAGGTTAATATTATTATGATAGAAAGTAAATACTCCAACTATATTGTAGATATGTACGAGATACGAAGTAATTAATGATAGATAACGTATATTGCACTACGCAACAAAGTAAACGAGACTAAAATGGCATTATACTTTAAGTAATAAATAAATATGCAAATGTTAGCACCGTTTCCTATTATAATGTCGCAATTTCACCTCAATACCTGTTCTTGATTAATTGTAAATTAGAGCATTTATGGTGCATTGTAAAGTAGGATATTTATTATTTTATTTCTTAAAAAATAATTTATATAAAAACAATTTACAACTGTCTAAAAACTTCAAAATTTAACTTACATAATGACTAGCTACAGAAAAACAAAACTTTGTTTATTAAATCATCATTAACTCGCTTAGAATTTATATTATCATTGGGACAAGTCAAATAGATCGATTATCGAATTTCACAAAAACTTATGCAAAACGTTATAAGTTTTTAGTTCGGTCAGATTAAGCATCAACTAAACCCCAATATGACAGTTGTATACGTACTAGTAGCCACGAGACTGGCACATATCAACACACGCACACAGACACAACACGTCGGTGGTAACTGTGAGTATATATTTTTTTATGAAATCACTTTTTTAAATAAAGCACAGCTTGTATTTTATGCAAGCTATATGCACTTTGTAATTTACATAATATTGTAAGGCTTGGCTTTAAGCCTTTTATATTAATATGAACAGACAAAGAAAGTGCATAGGTACATTACATCATTCATCAGAAATTCTATATCTACTTGCTCTTAATTAATCGGTAAGGCTATACGCCATGATAAATGATATGTTTTCCATAAGTATTCAAATACCTGTATGCACTTTTAATTATTTCAATAGGCCACAGACTGATTTTCTAAAAAAACATTCTCCCTAATAGTTGTGCTCTAAAAATTTTCCATTTGTAAAATACTTATTTACAAATTTTGTATGAGTAGTTAAATGAGTAAACCTACATCTTGTACAACATTTGTTCAATTTCAGTAAACGTTAATTCTATATCTTGCTTGGTCTTTTGTTAATTTTAAATGAGTTTATGGCCTAAGTTTGTAAAATTATTATAAAATCATGTTAAAGTAATCCGTATTTTTTGTAATAAATCTTTACTTTTTTTTTTCTTCTAAACATTGTTGCTGTTACTATTTTCAGTTTTGGTCTTCTTTCTGTACACTCTTCTTTCTTGACTACACCTCGTTTGTTTCTTTTTATTTCTTCTGTACATCCTAATCTCTTTCGTTTTGTTTAGTTCTGTTTTTCTGTCTTCTACTACTACTACTGTATTGCTTCTGTTTTATACATAACAAGAAATTAAATAATGGTATAAAGTAATAAGGAACTTTCTTCCAATTATAAATTAATATATTGTGTAAGCCCGCTTGTTAATGCCACAGTTTCTTCTATAAAATTTTATGGATGGAACATTTAAGGTAACCTTTATGTAACAGGTTTCACATTTCACCTAATACAATAGACAATTGTTTATTAACAAAATGCCTTTGTATTTGTTTATTTATTATATTATTGCTAATAGTAACTCCAAGGGCTAACTAAAATACCGTTGAAAAACACTATATGAGAATTAATTACAATCACATTAATTTTTGCTAATAATTTAAATATTCACTGAGTAATTCAGTCAATATTTGTTTAAATGTTATATCTATATCTTTATAATTAATTTTGTTTTATACCTACACATTTATCAATTATCAAAAGCTGAATTCTTAAAACTATAGATTTACATGAAAATAGTATAAATTATAATCAGAGTTTATTTTCTGAAATAATTATAATAATAATAGACATGCTAAATTATAAATTATTGTTTTTATGATTCATCGATAGAATTCAGCTTTTATTATGGTTCGCGCATTTAATGGAATTAATTTGATTATTAATTATTTAATAATAATTTATTTAAAATATATTGATTGTTTATTTTAATGATTTACAAAATTTTAAAATGGTATGACTGAGTAAAAATTAATTCGAAATGTGCGCACCACACAAAGTTACAATCTAACATTGCCATCATGAAATAAATAAATTATTATATGGCATGATAGATTGCAACTAATATATTTTGTCAACTAGTAACATTTTATACCATATTATAGGGTGAGAGCAACGAGACACGCATAGCGGTCGCGAACCAGCGGGCTAACAAACTCCTCAAGTCCTAAGCGCCGACAAATTGCGATACTAAATAGCTAAGTATTATTTTCCTTCTTCGTTCTGTTGCCAATATAGTCGACTAGCTTGTGATTGCCTGCGGGGTGGCGTAGGGCGTAGGTCGTTCCCGGAAAACACCGGCGTGACCCGGTGCTGGCAACGTGCCGACTATAGCGAAATTAAGATTATAAGTTCCTGGTACTCTCGATTCTCAACCTATATACAGTGTGGTACTAGGAATATTTCCAGTATGAGAACGTTATTTATGGTAGGTAATAATTGCATTTTTGCCAATTTAGTAGGTAAATTGTGTTATAGCTTTGAATTAAAGTGTCTATAGAATAATATATTATCCAAATAATTCATGTACTATATGTACACAGGAGTAAAATATGTCAGAATATACCTACTCAGAATCTGCTAAAATACCACATGATATTTAGAAAAAAAATACATAATGGGAAGTAGCAGTACGGGTACCAAGTTGAACCAGCTACCGAGAGTCAAAATATATTAGGAACCACACTAGTTCTATAAGCTCAAGTAGTATCATGCTAAAACTCTTACCAGGTTGAATGCACTTGGGCTAAGCATTTAGTAAATGGATAACGAGAAATTTGTAAATGTTAGAGAGTTGTAAATGTCGAAATGTTAAATGTGAAGATGTTACTGTTTTAAGGCTGTGGTTGTTTTAGCTTATGTGAATAAGGGCAGTGCACAATAGAAGGTTCTAGAATCTTGCATCACGACATGCCTCACCCCGCGGGCATAAAACATTACGAAAAATTTGTCCAACGTTTGTCTCTATTATTAATATTTAAAATGTATAATCACAAAGCATTTAAAGACTTCGTACGCTATAATTTCTTTGTTAAATGTTAATTAGTCAAAATTTTAATAAATAACGTTGAATGTATCATATTACGTACAATTGATATATTTAATATAGAAGGCAATAAGTATCAAAATAATAAAAACCTAATTTGACCTATCGATTTACGAGTCAAAAAGGCTATCGCGTTGATTGCAGTATAAATTTTATTATTATATGTTGGCTTGGAATTTCGTGGTGTTTACATATCCGAGATATTAATTTGTGCCTAACAGAACATATGCATTGGAGTCGACACTAAAACGCCGTACTCTATATCTATCAAATTTCTACTTCATATAACAAACGGTACGAACTAAATTCATTGTAAATTGAGTTATAAGTACATGAGATTTAGTTCTTTTTTATTTTTAACATCAAACTTTCATTAAAATATCACTTTAAAATTTTAAAACATGGTTCTACAGTATCGACTCCAATGACTACGTTCGATTAGATATAATTGTTCTAATTTATATTTACGGGTGAGTACAGTATATTACATTAATATTGATATGTCGAGCTAAGAATAAGAGATATGTTTGTTACAATAAAATCTGTTTAGAATTAGTACGTTATCTAAACATTATAGAGCAAGATCATGTCTTCCCTACGTATTAACTAACACAGACATATTGCTCTTTGCCTTATTGCTTGCATAATTCCTCGTCAAAAGTTCCAATATAATATACAATCATTAATATTGCTAGTCATTTCAATTAAGAACCAATTTATTAAACACTGTACTTACCCCTATTTTAATACTTGTGTTAATTTATTTCTTATTTTAAATTATTCTTGTGCTAGTCTATGTAAATATTTATTTAAACAAACGAAGTATGAAATGAGATCTCGCACATTTTCGTCGAAATGGAAAATATTTTCTTCTGGCAATTAATTTTGAGTAATGTGCCAAAATTCTCACATTTCTATAGAGTGAGAGACATATTGATTTCTATATCACTTGTATTATTTTAAATCGTATATCACTACACTTTCATGCACTTGGTTTTATATACATTCTAATAATTAGGTGATAGCTTTTATAAAGTTGTTTTGCACGTAAGTGTAAGGTATGGGTATCGAAAGAAAAGTACATACACATAAGCTGCAGTGATCTATTCACGCTCAACAACTATAATCTGCATTCTCATTAATTATAACGTTTAATCTACGATCATATAATCGATTATATGCAATCACAATACTTACTGTTTTCATTAATTATATGAAGGTTAAATTTTAGCGATTTAATATTGGATAACTATTGAAATATATAATTTATATTAAAAAAAATTCTGTATTTAATAACTTCCACGTTTAGACATGTTACCGAGAACTTCACAGTTAGATTAAGACGATTGTGCCTGGATTACTGTTTCATTGAAATTGTTTAGAGAATATAATTATTCACGATGCATTTAGTATTCATAAGTTACATATATTAAACGCTTCTCAGTAGGTTCCTTTTGTAATTTATCGCGTGTAGGCTCATTCGCCGGCCAATTGGAGTTAGGGTGACAGCACTCGGGCCGTGTATGGCCCTGCAATAATACAAATAAATAATCTATAAATGTTATAGGCTTTGAAGCCGCGCATACGTCTCAATCGATATATAGATATACTAGTGACAAATGTGATTACAAAACATGCAATAGACATTATAATAGTTGAATATTTAAAACTTTATTACTTAAAGTGTATTGTAAGTACGATGAATAAAGTGTACCGGCCTTTAGGAGTAATGAACGTAGGAATGTTACGGCAGCGGCTTGACAAATTATACTATATTCGTGTACCAGTTAGTTAAGAGTTTTCGAAATTTTCTCTATGTCTTTTCTCTCGATTATATTAGTTAAGTCATAACCCGTGTCCACCGCGCGGCAATTTACCTAAATAAATATTTTTAATAATAACATATTTTAAACAGTGTTGTCTTGTAACCATATAGAGATTGTTTTGTAAAGGCTAAACAAATATCCAATATAGTTGTATAAATTTACCGCCTGCATAACATGTATCTGTTTTTATTCAGCATAAAATTGACTAATACATAGGATAAAATAATTATATCTATTTTCTTTAAGAATAGATTATAATATACGTAACGAATAGCATAAAATGTTAATTTCTAATTACATTATTGATTTGTTAAAGTATATCACACTTTGTATTATTTAATCCACGATATTCCACATCCTATACCCACTTCATACTCACAACGATATAATATATTCAAATTAAAATTATCTTTATTCAAAAAGTCTTTAGAAGCCCGTGTATGATCGACTAATGCTATGCACAGTTGTCATTTAAGTAATCGTTTAGTGTGTAATAGGCTTTTTTTAATAAGTGTCTTTTATATAATATATAAAAGTTAAAATAATAATAAAAAAAAAACAGTTTTAAACATATTAAAAAGCATATCCAAAATATCCTTCTATTCCCATAAAAAAAAAACTTATTAAAGTTTTGTAAACAGTACTTTGGAAAAGCAAGTTTGAACTGTATCTAGTGTTGGTTCATATATCGATAGATTTATACATACATGCATACATATCTGCCACGCATGTTTACCTATTTTATGAGCCAATATATAATTGGTATTTACTATAATAAATTGGTTCATATATCGATAGATTTATATGTGTGCATAAATGTAAAGCATGCCTTTTAACTTCTTCAATCTGAATTATCCGACAAAGAACCTATATTTTTATGTTTATTTTTCCCTCCTTTATTTAGTTGTCTACATTAACATTGCTAATATGAACTCGAGACATAATTAAAAAAGTTTGGAATATTTTAAAACTGGATAAATAAGTCGTACTGTAAAATAAAGTAAAAATACACATAATATGAATCTTTTATAAATCTTTATTAATATTTAATTTTTTACCATACAAAATCCATACACATTAAAATCTTTAAATATCACTGTCTATCATAACTATATAACAATTGTAATTATATTACCAATTTATTAATATCGCTAGAAAGATAACAAAATTTATGATAATAATATTCAGTCATACAGTAATACTGTGGCTTAAAATAATTATGATTGTCTATATTAAAAAAAAAAAAACTGTTTATTAAATTTGTTCCCAAATTGCATTCTTTAAAAACAAAATTTTCTTTAAACCACCAATACCACCTAGCTAACATTTATATAAATACTAGCTGACTCGGTAAACGTTGTTTTACCATATACATTATTTCTAGAACTATAGAAAGAAATGAAAGAAAGAAAGAAATAATTTGTATGTATTTTTCAATGCTAAATCATAATAAAATAAAAATTAAAAAAATTGTCAAAAAAAATAAAAAAAAAATTTTGGAGTGGGTCACCCCTATCATTGAGGGGTATGAAAAATAGATGTTGGCCAATTCTCAGACCTACCCAATATGCACACAAAATTTCATAAATATCGGTAAAGCCGTTTCGGAGTTTGGTAACAAACACCGCGACACGAGAATTTTATATATTAGATTTACATAAATTAGATGTAAAAATCGTAATACAATGTCTCCTTTTATATTTATTAAAAATTTATTTTAAAATTAACTATTTTACTATTTGATTTCATCATATTTAGATTAAATTCAAAATTACGATGTTTTCTGTAACTCCTGTAAATTTTTATCCGTTTTAGGAGATATTGGTGGTTAGCCTTCGCTTTGTCCTTAATCATAATGGTTATTACTGAATAGTTTTATTATTTTATTTACTTTTTATTCTGTACTATTTGCCTCAAAAACAGCGTATCAGTACTAAACTATTATCCTTAAAGTTACACACTAAACCCTTCCAATTATACCATCTATAGTCCTGTTTTGTCAATATTTCTCAAAAATTTTTTTGTCATCAATTTTATGTAGAAACTCCAAATCAACCTACGATAACACAAAGATAAAAAGTCTTTTATCTGCTCAGGGTCTACTCAGAAATTAAAAATTCAAATGTTCGGATCCAAACAATAAGTACTCGATCGAACTTTTCATTACAGTTATAGAAAGACATAAAACCTCTATGTTAGGGGCGGCGGTCGATCGCGACTATTAGTCCAGTCGATCGTGGCAAGGCAAAAAATACAATATTTTACTAATCTAACGGAAGATGCTCAGACGCAATGCTCGCACTAATATAAATAAGTAGTTACTAAGATTAATTTTTAGCTTTATGTTTTCCCTCTTAATGAAATAATAAATACTACAATATTACATAATTATATACTGAACTATGTTGTTTCATTTGAAATTTCAAAAAATATGTAATCGGTAGATCGCACTGAGTTTCGTTAGTAAACAGTAGATCTTGGGTCTAATCAAGTCTGCCACTCCTGCTCTATATTATATATAATTCTATGGAATGTCTTTACCAACTAAATTTAAGGACAGAACCTGATTCTGTTATTTCTCCACTATGGGCAAACAATGTACCGCCTTTTACTACGACACTTTTGACGACTAAAAACTTACTACCTCACAAGCTCAAACTATGACGCAAGAATGCAGGTGATAGGCGGAATGCTGACGTTTTTAAGCCGCCAATTGCTCTCAGTCTCAATTTTGTTGCCCCTCATTTTTGTCACATTTACCATTTTGTACTAGAACCCCAAGTCGTCATCGATATTGCAATCGAATTGCATTTCTTACAATATAAAATAAATATAAAAATAATTATCTAATTAATTAAACACTGAGTTCCACAACGAGTCCCAATATAACCATAACCGAAAAGCCGAGAAGTGAGCAGGCAAACTGCGAAAGATTGGTGTTGTTACGCCGCCATACCTCGAAGAAGACCACATACACTAGTGTCCCGCAGGCTATGCCCTGTGTACAAAAAAAAAGTTTATTTGACAAAAATAATCTCATTTATTTACTAAATTACGGTTCTTTTGCCAAGTTACGTATATTGCTGCTAACGAATTATTACAATAAAAGGCTTTATGAACCGAATCTCAGTGATTACGACACAGTCGTTATGATAAGATAAAAATCATTAATATTTTTTTTCGAGGGAGTCGACCTTTTTGATATAAATAACCACACAATAAGATTTGTGTGGTAGATAGATCAAAATTGAAATTCTGACATTTTTTATTAACGCTGTGGCCCCAGCAAATGATGATAGGGATAAAATCAGTTGGCATGTCAAAACGAATTCACCATGATTTGCTTTTCAGATATTGTTAACAATTGGAGCGTTAGTCACGTTAGTAATAATTATCTCCCTTGGAGATATTCTTATTAATGTAAAATCTCCTAGAAACATTATTGTTGTGCATTGTGAGTTTCAAATCGCAATCCAAATATTTTAGAATCATCATCATGAAGGACATCACTCTCTGTTATTACAAAGAACGACGTCATTTGAAAATTGCAGATATCAGCACGCTATTTGGAATGAGATTCTAATAGCACTTTCCGTCGCAGGATGAATATTTTTTTATGAAATTAAGAATGACGAACAAGCTGTTCCACCTGATGGAAAGCGGTAACTGTTGCCTATAGACATTTATAGCACCATGGATGTTACAGAATAATCAATAACCCCATAGAGATCGCATGAAAATACCGGTCGAATCAATAGGGTACCAAAGCAAGTCTTATAGTGTTTTTTTTTTAATGGATGATAATGAAATGGTAAACCCACCCGCGCTATTGGTATACACCGGCGGGGCACCAGTGACGGATGATGGATGAGGATGAAGCAGGTCAGTTAGCCCATCGTGACGAATTCAACAAGAATTGTTCACGATGGTTTCCAGGGGAAACCACGTAGAGGTCGACCTAATAAGGCATATTGCTAGCAATGGGGCTGTCAAACTCCATTGCTAACAATCCCTTTCCCTCCAGTCTTATTGTGTTATGCTTCGGTACTCTGTAATTTCACTGCCATAACCACATATACCCTTCAATGGGTGAAATATTTTTATAAACTCCTTGTCAGTAAATGTAACTGAAACATAAATTTTGCCATCGTATTAATTACCTACTATTTTATTTAAACAAACTGTTGCTATCGCTGGCATATCTTAGAATTTTTCTCACGCAAAAGCATAATGAGAAGATGCTTTGTACTTTTCATCAGCCGTGAACCATCAACTTGTTTGCAATTCTAAATTGTATAAAAAAAACTAGTATAATATTATATTATTTGTGCCTAGGCTACGATATGTATCTCGATTTTTGTATCATTAGCTTTTTTTATAATTTAATGATAAATAACAAAATTTTTCTCTGAAGAGATTATTTATTTTTGTTTTTATTGAGTATGCATTGTGCATATAACCTTATAAAAAAAAAAAAACCCTGTATAATTCGTAACAATAAGTTCTGTTGTTTAGAACTGGAGAAACCGACGCGGACAGCGGCGTATAGATGATAAGCCAATTAGATCAAGGAGAGACTGTACAAAAGTCTTCTGCTTTGATTCCCGTGTTCCACTATAAGTCATTTCATGCCTATAGACAATGGTTACTAGTAAACCGTCAGATTTTTTGCCATTTTAAGTGCATAAAAATAAGCCAAAATATCATTTACACTACAGTAAGAATTAAAGGTCAAGATTCAAATGAACGATATAAAGTAGGTAATAGATTACTACAGTAAGTATATTCAATGTTTGTATTGACACGATATTTCTACTATTTCTAGTAGATATGGAACTAAAATATTTTATCAGCATTTCATAATATTGATAAATTTTAATATTACTAAAACATATCTGTGTCATTACAAGTATTTTTGACTGATAACAATGTTATTTTGAAATAAGTCAAAACGAAATAAAGTATATCCTGTTTCGAAATTCGATAATAAAAGTATTTTATACTAGCTATTTTTTAGCAGCTTTGTCGCGTGAATCAGTAAAAGTATCCTATAATGTTAGAATATAACCTACCCCAGTATCAAATTTCATTCATATCCGTTAAGCCATTTAACAGTGATTAAGGAACAAACATACATACATTCAAACATGATTACAATTTTTTTTATTTATAATATTAATAAGACTTCATGCTTACCTTAATTTTTTTGTACTGTTTCTTATAAAAGTTGGGTAAATGTATAAGCAATCGAAAAAATGTCTCGAACCAAAGATTAAATCCCCGGATCTAAGATCTTAGATAGATAGATACTCTTTATTGTTTCCTCCAAAAGATTACAACAGTAAACTTATTATAAATACAAACAATCACAAGAAATAATCACAATGAGAAAACAATGGGCGACCTTATCGCTAAGAGCGATCTCTTCCAGGCAACCTTTGGATGGAGAGGAGTAATATCTTACAACCTCATTACTAGCAATACACCCTATCAAGTCGACCTCCACACGGTTACTCGTGGAAACCATAGTGATTAATTCTTGTTAATTTGATTACATAATGGCTTCAGCTATCATCCCTCATTGATGCCCCGCTAGAGTACACTGGTAGCACAGTCGGCGTTACCATTTCATTACCATCCATTAAAAATAAAATAGTGTCCCTCTCTCTAGTGTTTTAAGATAAATTATTAAAAAACTCTTATATAAATATAATGGATGGCAATATTGCGATTTTGACACCCTCCGAATATACGCACGGAGTACGTTCCCCAATTTATCCCCCAACCTGGGGCTATTACTATGTATAGCATAAAAATGAATTTATTTTGTCATTTCAGACAACGGTATACCTAGTAGTTAGTTAATTTTGATTCAACTAATTCATCCATTTATGGGCGTGAGAATAATCTAACTTTATAAAAGTACACATATACGAGTATAATCACAGACACAAATTACCTACATTATAAAACATAACTGACAGCAAAATTGGTCTGCCGTATCTAGTTGGGTACGCTAATATCCGATTTGTATTGGTCAAGTACCTATTTAGCAAAATAACAAATACAAGTAGACACCGCACCTGTATTGGACAGTTTCAAACGCCTGAGGTCTGACACTCTATTAGTTTATAGATATTCTATTAGTTTATACCACTGTCCTTATAGGAGAAGAGATCGTTAGTAATGCGTACTACCAATCCCATTGTTAGCAATATACCCTACCAGGTCGACCTCCACGTGGTCCTCCTAAAAACTATCGTACTCGATTCCAGGAGTATTCATCACGATGGACTAACCGACAGGACATCAAGCTAAGCACAATAATAAGTATGTGTGGTGACATGAACAGCATCATGGTGTGGCAGCGAGATGGACATTACGAAATAAACTGCCACCATGGTATCTCTCAAGCATTGCCATTCGTTAAAACTAGTATATAAGTCTCATAGACTTGTTATAAGATACTATATAATCTAAGATCTAATAGATACACAATAATTTGATTGCATCTCGTTATTGAAACAAAATGTAACATGTGATAAATTTATAGACAGGTGTTTGACTTTTGTAGATAAAAGCATTTAGTAGATAATATTAAGTATTTATCTATTAACGACAACAATAATATTTCATATACTAATCCTTATATTTTATTGCTTAATTGGAACACTATTTATTACTTACAAATTAATAAATTTAACGACTAATATTATTTACTTATTACAAAACTGTAAAGTATCTAATTCTCATTGACCATTAATAAAATTTGATAGCAAACATTTGACTACCTATCAGCGTATCCCGATAGCGCAAACGAGGATGTCATTCCATTACCACTCATTAAAAAAAAACAGTTTTATAATGCAGATTTTTTTCCAAGAGCAATCATACGTCGTTAAGCACATAATGTTTTTGTTATTGAAAAGCAGATTTGTTAACCGTTTTATAACTATGAATACCTCATCACACCTGAAGTGTCCGAATGTCAAAAATTATACCTAATAATAAAATAATGTACTATTATTACGTAAATGATACCTAACAGTGTTGGGCTCAGTTTCAAGCAGAATTATAGTAATTTATGTAATCTTCCAAAACAGATACACCTATTTTAATATCATATATAGATATATTTAATATCATCATAACACTATCTTTCGCAACGTAAAATACACAAGTAGTTTAAAAGTAGGATTTCTGCCTTTATCCTAAAATACATGGGTGAAGATCCAATAATAATCAATTAGGTAACTAAACAATAAAGAACTCTTACTTGTAATACCACGGAGTACAGTCCAGCATCAGCAGCACCAGCGCCGCCAACCATCAGAATTCCAATTCCAATACCCAGTGCCGACATAAAGGAAAATGTGAAGATATACACTAGTTGCAACCACTTTTTCTGCCCAGCAGCCAAGAGTTCGACTCCAATGCAGAACGCTATAATGTACTTATGAGCCGACACGGCTCCGAACATGTACCTACAACATGAAAAGGTGGAACTATATGAAGAAACACCATAACAGAATCATCATAGAGGATCGTAGATCATCAGAATTCGTTATTTGGCCTAATGCGATAGAATCATTAAAATATACTATTCAGAAATGCTTATAATTAAGTTTACTTGAATGGAAATTATTTTTATACTTAAAAAAGGCTAAAAATAAACATTAATATTGGTTATTTTAAATTTCGATACAGGATAGATTCAAGGATGCTTAGATTATTTTTTAAAGTTTTTATCTGTGAGATGCGAATGTAAATCCTGAATTAGACAATGAGAGGGAGCCTTGAATTCATCTATTTTAAGTTTTATCTTGTAAAATACGTTTTTATTTATGTAGGCATTTATTAATTATTTATAAACGGTTAATGACCGGATCGAGAAGATAACGCATAATAATAAATAGCCTTGGTTTTATTTATAAAATTTTTGGGCACAAGTGAATTTATAAGATTTCAATACATACCACACATTAACAACTGAAGCTTCTAATCCCACAGCAAGGCCCTCAAACAACTCGTGGATGGATAGTGCTAAAACTATTAGAAGACCTCTCAATGCAGCCGTGACGGAGTCTTCTGATGAATCCATAATGTGACTATGACCGTGTCCATTCTGGCCCTTCGCCTCTAATTCTTTAGCTGGTTCCTCAGAAGTAGTATCTTCGAAATCCTTTCTCAGAGCAAAAGTCCGTGACACATCACTGTTTATAACTTTCTTTTGCCTACTTTGAATGTACAAATGTACCAATTCTTCTATTAAGTACATCATGAAGAAGCCAGCACACATTATAAGGCCGGCCAGATATATCGGCATATCAGGAATTTGTCCTTCCTCTGGAAATAATAATATACTACTTTAATATTAAATATTTTTACGCAACTTAAAATGGTAAACAATCTAACGGCCTACCTGATTGAAAATAATAACCATCACCTAGCCTATTAGCAATGGCAATACACGATGGTACCCATCGTGTATTGCCATTGCTAATCAGATTACGGAGGTAAAAGACTAAGATTTTACGCTTTCGGGCCTTGTAATTTCAGTACCATATCAAACCGATATAAAGTTAATTAAAGACAGAAACACGAGTAAAACGAGTTTCTTTTAAAGAAAACAATAAAAAGTATCTACCTATCTACTAAGTACCCATGCAAACGCATTTTGTAGTCTACCTCTGGCTAATAATGTGGAAAACTACTAATAAAATTAGGTACATCTATTTAGATTGATGGTAAAAGTTTGCATACTGAATATTTTAAAAGGATTTTCGATGAAACTTGCTTTAAAATAAGTATATTGTGTATATTATTATATATTATATTATTTATGTACTATTTTATTTATCCAGTCGTATAAAAGCTGCATTCAACAGGTTTGGATGTATGTAGATATTTAATACGAATATTTCTTCAGGGTGCAAGTCAATATGTTTACAATTTTGTTTCTATTACAAATAAAAACTACAGCTTTGATAACTAAATTTTTTTGCATGACTCATCATGATTCACCATGTGTTAGATAGGTGTCTCATCTGATTGAGTGATAATTTAAAATAGCTTATCACAGACGCAGGGACTCGCTCCCCTCGAAACTGATTATCCATAAATATTGAAATGAATGATAGGATGGTATGATATAATAGTTTATGTATGATCTAAGGATATATGGTAAGTATTTCACTGTATATTTATTTGTGAGTTAAGCATCTAGTACCTAGTACCTATCTAGGTCCTAGAAAAATTTGCGTTACAGCAGCATGCTGCGGCTAAAGCTGAGTGAACATCAACTAAGCTGCTTCAACAGCATGCATTATTGAATTATTAAATTATTATATTCTTAGAATAATAATAATCCATCATTAGTATGTTTAGTACAACTATTGATTTTGTATATTATATATATAATTTACAAAATCAATAGGGGAATTACGGGAATTTTATGAACTTCCTACAATATGTTTGTCGTTTGGGGCGTTTGCTATTTGGGAGAAGAAACCCTGTAACACAAAGCGCCGTACGCCCCTGTAGAAAACTTCCAGGTGAAATCGAAGCAATTGTCGCAAACGACAAATATAGAAAGTTCATAAAATTTCCGTTATACATATATATCTACATCATTAAAATATGAACATAAATTTAGAAAAAATATATAATTATCGAAGCACATTGTAGCTATTCAGCTAACTAATAAATAAATATTGTTATTATTTATTTATTACTTAGGTATTTTCAATATCCATCCAAATATACTATTTGACTCAAATATAAGTAACTAAATATCACCGTGTAGTTCCCGGCATAGAATGGACCACCCCTTCCTTTCCCGTGGATGTCGTAAGAGGCGACTAAGTGATGGACAGCAGTGTCCCTTTCAATCATCTCTAAAGCCTAACTACGGTTGCCAACCTGCCTGCTTAGCGTGGCAACTACTGGCAAAACTCCCCTTATGGGGAAGGCATGAAATGCATTATGTTCAGCAGTGAAAAGTTAACGGCTGAAATAATAATAATACGTAAATCCACAACTTGCAGCCCAAATCGAAAAAAAAAGCTACAGCCATCAGTCAGCTTCATGGTCTTTTTTTAATGAATGATAATGAAATGGTAAATACCAATAGTGCAAGCGGGGCACTGTCGGTATATGCTGGCGAGCCACCAGTAAAGGATATATAATAGATAAAAATAGAGTCAAATTAATTGACCCATCATAACGAATTCAACAGGGGGGAAAGGGATTGTTAGTAATGGAGACTGAGAATCTCATTGCTAGCAATATACCCAGCCAGGTATATTGCTAGCAATGAGACCCGACCTCCTCTTGGTTCTCTTTCGAATTCGTCATGATAGGCTAACTGGTCTGTTTTCATTCTCATCGATCACCCTTCACTGATACTCCGCTAGTGTATCCCGTTAGCGCAGGCGGGATTACCATTCCATTTTCAATCGACAAAAAAAAACGAGTTCAACAATAGTTAACTACAACGGTTTTCAGGAGGAACCGCGTGGAAGTCGAACTTATAGAATAGATTGTTAACAATGAGTGCTAGTCCCAATTAGGTACTAACAATCCCTTATCCCACTAGCTTCGTAATCCTACACCAGTACCGTTGATTTTAATTTCATGAACACTGAAAAGTTCAATACTTGCTGAACGTTTACATACACATGGGTTAAATTGGGCAATGACATTAAATCTTTAAAAAAAAAAGGTATTTAATTACTTATTCCAATAATATAAAAACTAGTAATATAATTGATAATGTGGTAATCGATCGCATCTAAATACGATAGTTATAAATTCATTAGAATTGAAGGTGAACAAACAAAGGCATTATTTTTTACAATGAGAATAATTTATGAGAAACCAGTCAAATTCAAATATCTACCTCACGCGAATTGCATAATATAGCATAAACTTTATCAACCTACTGTTGGTAGAATCCGAAGATTTTAATCGTTAGGCCCTATTACTAACAATCTTGCATGCACCTACAAATTTTGGCCCGAAGGATTAATCTGATACTGATTTTGTATTATGAAAAGATGTTTCCTTTTATAAAACTCCAGTACTAATAACAAATATGCATATGTATATCATTTGCAATTTAAGACATTTTTCCTGTTTCATACAATTGACAGTTTTCACAGTCTGGCTATTCAGTCAAGTGCTAACGTAAATATAGATGCGTGACTCATGACTCATCTAGGACCATGGCGCCTCAGCCTTGATAGTGTGATCATCATTTACTAAAGAAATGGTAAGTTTTGTTGATAAAACACTGCCTTAAAAAGATTTCAATTACCTATACCTGTATAAAGTAAGTAGGCAGTGATTCGGAGAAAAATAATATTATATAAATATAGATAATATTATATATTTTTATTCCAAATAAAGAATTATTATTATTATCTGTCTTCATCCTCGCCTATCATTCTTCACTAGTGCTCCGCCAGCGTATATTATATTTATAGCGCGAGTGGGACTACCATTCCGTTATCATTCATAAAAAAACCTAACTGCGGCTGGTATGATGAACATTAGTTAACGATTAGAGTAATGTCATTCTACATATCTAGTCACTATATAGTATAGTAGAATTGTTTACTTAAATTGAAACAAACTGCTAATAAGTAAATTGACACTTGCGAAGCAGTAAGTAAAGTACCTATCTAATATGTACATAAATAACAAACGAGACTGGTTTATTTACCTTGGAGCAAATCATCACAATGTCTACCCATATCTACCTACAATAAGTCATATTGTAATTATTACTAGTTTACTAGAAGCTAATTCAAAACTCTTAGTACATAGTTTTTGTCAGTGGCGTAACAATAGGGTGGCAGGGCTGGCAAAATGCCACTGTCCCCCGATCCAAATGGGCCCCGGCTCAAGAGGCCGCGATCTCAGAATTTTTTACCTTGTACCTGAGTATTTTACTTGAAAATAAATGATAAGGCCCCATCAAAAGAATTTGCTACAGGTCCCAAATGGTATAGTTACGCCACTGGTTTTTGTTTTTATTATTTACTATGTATTTTTTACCCGCGACTATTAGCCTATGTTCTTCCCCAAGCCATTGTTCTTGAAAACTAATTTATTAAAACGCCAAGAGTTAAGAAACAAAGAAATTCACTTTTACATATTTGCTATTATTATATCAGCCGTTAACTGTCCACAGCAGAACTCTCCCATTAAAGGGGGTTTTGCCAGTAGTTGATTCACTTGGGTTAGCAAGGAAGGGGCGACCCAATCTATGCAGGACCGGTGGGGGGGGATTGTTAGTAATGCGGACTACCAGTCCTATTACTAACAATATACTCCGTCAGGTCGACCTTCACATGGTCCCCCCTGGAAACCATCGTGCTGAATTCCAAGTGTATTTATCACGATAGGCTAACTGACCTGCTCTTTCATTTTCACTTATCATCCCTTACTGATGCCCCGATGATAAAAAAAAAAGTCTATGCAAGACCACACGATACTATTATTTATAAATTATATATTTATAAATATTAAATAAGGTTTATTTTACGTATTTTTGTCTTGCATGATATGACCTGGGAAATAATAGATAAGTACCTAACTCAATGACTTACGAGAAGACGAAGATTCAAGTTGTGTTGAGAATCTGGAGAAATCAAGAATTTAATAGATTGTTAAGTATTAAATTTCTTCAAAGATAATTCTTTCTCTCGGTTTCAAAATAAATTACGCTAAAGAATTTACTATCGTATTCGTCTTTTGTCAATAAATAAATACCTACATAAACTATGATAACAAAACGAGTTCTACATTGTTAGAATTATCTTTTTATATACAGTAGGAGTAAGGTAATAAATGGAAACAATAGAAGTCAATATTCATAACATACTCGTGCACATAGTAAGTTGGTAAATGTACCCATCAATCATATATACTATACATATTAATAACTGTCCCTACTACTACCAGTTGGAGGGAAAGGATCGTTAGTAAGACGAACTACCAGTCCCATTGCTAAGAATATACCCTGTCAGGTCGATCTCCACGTGATCCCCACTGGAAACCATCATACTGAATTCCAGGTGTATTCATCACGATGGACTGACCTCCCTTTTCATTCTCACCTATCATACCTCGCTGATGTCCCGCCAGAGTATGCCTTTAGCGCAGACGGGATTACCAATCCACTATCAACCATTAAAAAGATATCACATAACAATCTGACATCAATCGCACATGGCACCATAACATTTTGCCACTTCTCCTTCCTACTATTCTACCTCTATATTTCAAATTTCAATACTACTTAATAGAAAGTAACTGGGAATGCATTGAGTCTGGATAATTGAAAAATGAACATAACTTCAAATCCTACGAATTTGAATTAAATTTGACTCACAGACAGGCCTTAACCTAGTTGGCATCCGTTATCATTATTTCATCTACGGATATTTCCATTTCAGGCGTTCTGTTACGCAGTGTAAGTAATCCCGAATATATTTAATCGTCTCTATAGATGACCAAACTGCTTAGATTTTATATCATACGTAGTACCTTTCCATCATTATTATTACGCCTGTGTATACCAATGTGATCAATGTTTTTAATTTAAAAACGAACACTATGTTACAGTGCAATGATCTAATATTAAAATAAATAATAGTACAGGTCTGCAAAAAATAAAATATTATGAACTATTGTCCATAATAAAACAATAATCCAGTAATTCTTATTGCACTTGTATTGTATTGTAAAGAATAGTCTTTACAATATAGTCGATGCAATAAGAATTACTGTGTTTTATTATTGTAGGAACATCACGTAAAGTAAGTACCTATAAGTACATTCAAGTCTTCTCTTCGCGCCTCTTTATTCATAAAAACCGAAACCTTCTACTAACCTATTTTAACTATTGCACTGTTTTGTCACTTTCTTTCAATTTAGAAATTTAGCACCAAAGGAAGAGACAAAACAGTTCAACAACTAAAATGCGTTCATGAGAGGTTTGACGTTATTATGAATAAAGGAGGGTACTCTAAAAACTGTTAATCAGGTCTCACCTTGCAGCAACTCGATATTTTCATCCACTTCCGGCAACAAATGCATAAATGTAGTAGAGAAAAGCACTCCTCCACCAAAAGCTAACAATCCCATCACTAACGAATTAGATGCCCTAAGATTTGGATCATTGGCCTTCGTGAACCAGTCGAACTTGAAGGATATGAGCAGGGGCAAACAGCCGATTATCATTGATACGCCGAATAAGCAAACCATAGTTATTACTTTCGCTATTAGTGAATCTTCATAATTATCCGCCGCCATTGTTAAATTCATTGTTAATATTTTGTTAAGTATTATAATGGTACGTCGTATTAACACTGTTTATTTGCGCGCGAATGATTGTGTCGGCGCAGTGCACGCACCGTTGTCAGCTGAACTCGGACGACTGAGCTTCCTCCGCTCCTGGGATAGTAGGCGGACATGATAAAGTCTCATTATTAATGATAAAAACGACAAGCAGTTTGTTCACTGACGCGTCAGTAAAGAATTACCGCTCAATTGATATATATGTATTGACATGAAACAATGTCAAGAAACTAAACAAATAACAGGTTCTAAAAATAATTTCTGCAGTTTACGAGTATATTCGGTAAACATCCAGACAAAAAACATCATAATAATCTCTCTCTAAATATGCTTCGACAAAACGGCCTAATTAAAAAGTTAACCTAATTCAAATGATTTCTTTTTCCTTGTTACGATTACTAAAGACTATAAATTCTAATCTTACAATAAAAAAACGGGATAAAATACAATTAATGAAAGATGCCCGGTTGCCCAGAAAATGAAGCATCCAAATATTGAAGATCACAGACAACCTCTGTGGTGGAGTGGTAGGCAAGTTGCTTTGGGTAAATAAGGTATTTAATTATTTAGTTTCAATTGCTAATCGGGTCAATGTAGGAAACGAACATTTGTGAATTAAGTATGTTTTGGGTTGTGCTCTCAGACCTTTTATGGATTATTTTCCATAGGGCGCCTGGCCCCTTAAAAAAGCATTTTTTGTACTCTCAGACATGTCTTTACGCATAAGTAGAAGTTCAAGTCGCGTCTTAGGGTGGCCACCAGACAATTAAACATCCCTACGTCTCAGACATTCATTGGCTGGCTCCTCATAACACAAAGAATCGTAGCTTGAGACCATGCGATTAGTACGATGCACACTTATTTATTATAAATAAAATGAATATTCCTGTCTGCAGTACCGAATATTTGTCGAATTTAGGATAGAAAATTGGTTCACAGCTATATTTTTATTATTTAATGAATTGGTCTATCTCTCTTTACTTAGTACTTATCTATAAAAATTAATAATTGTTTTCTATTTAAATGACTTTCACTATATCCCGCAAAGGAAGAAATTAAATTCCCAATTGGTCTATATTTTTCACCTGTATGTTAAGAGATAATTAGCATATTTTTTTCTACAGAGAATTTGGCCCTTTAAAAATGTGCATATATATTCTTAAACATATCCATATTTCCACTCTTGATGCTAAAATGGACACCAAACAATGCTGGGGTAGACACATCCCAAAGCGGTTTACCCTGGAAACCATCGTAACTGGCCAATTAACCTTGCTTTCATCCTTACCTATCATCCCTTACCAGCGTTTGGCCAACATTTACCAATACCACAAGCATGGTTACTACTCTAATATTATCCATTTAATATTCTATGAAGATACTATATAATTTTTTACTAGCGTACTTAGTGACGTAACCTTGTGTAAGAGGTCAGGGATGTTTTGCGTCATTCAGCGTCATGTCCATGTCATTCAATCAGTTTATAAACCTAATTATTTATTTTTAAATTTTTTTATATTTAGTGCACTTAAATTTCACTTAAAAAAGTTTAATTTAAGAGTTATTAATTTTGAATTTAATTAAGCATATAGAAATGCCTTAATTAATATTAAAATCTTGTGACATGATCATTCTAAGGAAATCATAGAAAGTTATTTGTAAATTTATTGAACAAAAGTACTAAAAATGAAAGGTACTTACGGATTTCTATGAATTACAATATTAATAATATTAGAATAATTCGCATTTCTGAAATTCGACGTAATAAAAAAACAAAGCAATAAGTAAATATCTAAATTCCTAAGTTCTGTGATAAATGCTGCATTTATAAAGTACATAAATAAAAATATTAGCAGCTTAACATAACCATGTATTTCAGTTTTATAATAATAAATTTAACCAATTAATACTTCTACAGTAGCCTGTAAAGACTAGCCGATTGAAAGTATCAGTTGTTACTGAAAATGAAAAAAAGATATATAAATATTTTATTCATCATTATCACAACATTATTTATATGGATACTGTGGAGTTCTGACACTGAGACAAATAACACAATACTTTTATTAAAACAAAATAATTATTATATTAAAGATCTCCTGATTTCACCTTCGCCTTCTGTTTGCACAGGTATGTAAGTTATATAGAAAATAATAAAATTTAAAACAACATTATAGACACAGAAAAAGTGATTAATCTAAACCAAGGTGGTTTAGACAAAACAACTACATATTATAATTATTTTTATTTCTGTGACAGTAAAAAAAATAATCCTAAACACATCTACTGACCATAATCTTTATTTTTATTTCAGAAAACCAATTTCTAGTGATAATAGTAACATCATATGTAGGTCATGTGGAACTAAGAAGTGTACATAGAAGATCAATGCCATCAAGTCTTTTAAAATCTATGAACATAACTAGAATTTTCTTATTAGCTAAAATACCACCAGATGAAAGGTAAATAATATATATAAAGATTTTTTGCTATTCCAATGATAATGAATTGAAAATGGCAAATGCAGGCTATCTCATCTCATTTTGAAAAGTTTGCTAAATGAGGAATAAATAATTAATCTTGAAGTGTGGTGTGGCATAGAATAAGCCACCCCATTCTTTCCATTTAGTATCATAAAAGGCGACTAAGGAAGAGTGAGGAATGGGCAGCAGCGTCCCATAAAATATCTCCAATATGGACAATTAAAGGCTGATATGATGATGATAATGATGGATTAATCTATACAGACATGAATCTTATCATAATTGAAAATAACATATAATCTCATTCTCCTAAGTATTAAACACAATTTGATGATTTCAGATATATAACACAAGAAGCTATTAAAGATGAAAGCACAATCTTTGATGATGTACTACAAGGTTCTTTCACAGAAAACTACAGGAATTTAACACACAAACATCTTATGGGACTGCAATGGGCATCAACTGTCTGCAAGCCTTCATATATACTTAAAGTGGATGATGACACAGTGTACAATTTACAGAGCACTCATAAATTACTATTGCAAATGAATAAGTCAAATGACAACTTACTCATAGGATACATGTTGAATAATACAAAACCTAGGAGAAGTAAGCAGAATAAATGGTATGTTACTTGGGAAGAGTATCCTAGAAATGAATATCCGCCATATTTATCTGGTTGGTATTATATAATAACTTCTAAAGTGGCAACAAGTTTATGTGAGGAGGCAATGTACCATCCATATTTTTGGATAGATGATATATTTGTGACTGGAATATTGACAGAATCTCTCAATATTAAACTTAAGCAATTGCCAGAAGACTACTGGCTAGAATATTATGAATTACTTGAATGCTGTTTGACAGATATGATAATTAGATCAATAAGATGCAATTATGTGGTAGGTCCAAACGGTGGCAGAAATAATTTAATGTTAGAGTTCACCGAAGCCATAAGGAATTGTGATGACTGGAGGAACTGTACAAGGAGGGTGTCTGAAAAGTCTCTAAAGAATGAATGTGTAGTGAATAAAGAACGTAACATCTTCAGCAATGGGACTGCTGAAGTGCATTTTGTTAGGTTATAGATTTTTATACTAACTTGTTAATTATAATATCAATATAAAATATCAGATTATAACAGCTGTTGCAATTAATACTGTGATATTATTTGATTAAGTGATATACATTATACATTAAAATAAAATAAAAGATAATATAACATACTGATTTATTATTCTGTAAAGTAACTGGAACATAAAATATGTCATATGGCACAAAAATTAATATGTAAACAATAATATAGACTACTAATCAATAATTGTTATGAATAACACAAAATCAAGACTTTATTCTAATTTCATTACTCATAATTATACTAATTAAATAAGTACATTAAACAATCTTTAATATTGATTGATCAGTCAAAAATAAAATTGAGCATTAATTAAATTCAACTTTAATTAAAATAAAATTGACCTAAATTAAATACCTAAATAGATATTCATCAAGATTTCAACCATGTATTTGCGACAGAACTGCCATTTACAATACAATCTTTAAAACCCTTCATAACATATGCTGATTGATACCATTTTATCTTGTCGGTAGATTCAATTTCATTAAAATCACTTCTTTCATATTCCATGTCAGGATCTTTTGGTACTATATCATGTAAATTACTACCAATGTCTCCAAATACTTGAAACTGGTTACAACAGGACATAGTCCCTGTAGTCTGTGTTCTGAAGTCCATAACAACTATTTTAGAACTCCTTGGTATTCTATGACCATTGGCCGGAACAAAATTATCATTGTTGATTAACTCTTGATTTTTTGTAGACTTCTTTATAAATACATACATATTTGTTGGGGCCATTGCATTAAAAAATACTTGACTCAACATTTCTGATGTCACCAATGTTCTAAAATTAAAATTAATAATTTATTAAACACAATGTTACAAGATATCATATTTACCCTGAAGAAAACTTTCAGATAAAGTCAAAACAATGATTGAAAATGGCAACATAATAAGTTTAATTTCCCATTATATGTCTATATAGACATAGTATAAAAAATTAACAAATATGAAAAATAATATTGCAGGATAATATGTATTATTTAACTAAATTCATTTTTGTTGATATCTAAACTATATGTCATATCAATTTGCATATAAATAAGTTAAGAATTTATGTGAATAATTGTTACACAGACATACCTATGTATAACTACAGTTATAGGTTAAGTTCAACTATTATTCACTTATAACTAGCGACTCAGCCCTCTTTAGCTGTAACTGGGTAGACAAATAAATTACAGCCCATGTTACCCACTGGTAATGTAGCTTCCATAAGTGAAAGAATTTTTAAAATCTATTACTTGTTTTTTGAGTTTATCCTTTACAAAAAAACTATTAAATCTTTCTTTTTTTATAATATTGCTTAAATGTCTAGATAATTTTAACTAATAATAAAGGTAGGTTTTACAAAAAAAAATATGGCATGCATTTGAAGAATGAAATCAAAGCATAATAACTACCACAGTTTAAAGAACATGGCAAATTGTAATTACATACTAATGGTAGTAAACTATTGGTTATCTACACTAAGCCTTTATTCAAATTTATTTTATTCTAAAAAAAAAAGCCTTTACTCAAAAAAATTTCAAACTTCTCATAAACCTATTTTAGCTATTGAAGTGTTTTTTTTTTTATTAGTAACATAGGGCATATATTATTTTAAATAAAAATTAGTTCCCTGTGAAAAGTACAATAATGTAACTCACAATATCAAAAAGTTGCTTCTAAAAGTAATTATTTAGCATGTACTCCAAAAATTATTGATGATAAACAAGTAATATACCAGATGTTAATAGTACTCATCATTGCCCACGAAAAGTTCATGAAGCTATTATATCTAACTATTATAGCTAAGTCATAATAACCATTTTATTGTTAAAATTATTGGATCAAAATATGGGTAGAAATGGAAAATGATAACATTTATATCCTGTATCAATCCTTATCCAACTACATTGTTTTATGATCAAGGTTTATGATGTACATGTAAACTCCTCTTCAAATTATTTAAATCTCATTTTTTTTATTTAGAAGTTATGATCAATATAAAAATACTAAATGTATGAAAAATATTGTAGTATGAGTGAATTTTACACATAATATTATCTTCTATTGGGCCAAGTATCAATTTAAAATACTAATTTATTGTTCTATCTACTTGTGTGAAACTGGAGTGAGCTGCTAGTTTCTAATATTGTGATAACACATTAGCCATTGATTAAAAAAATAGATTAAAAATCTAAGGGATTGTTTATTTTTATAAGTAAAATGTTGTGCAATGTATTTCTAATCAGTGGGTGCCCGATAGGCGATTTTTTATTGTTATAGTGACACTTTCACTTACCTAAATATATTTTTCTGAATCTTCTGATCATTAGCTATGTGAGTAGACTGACATTGGGGCTTATGGCACAATGTGGGCAAAATCAATCTGTATATCTCTTTACATGTCACTGGAGTCCCTCCAAGTATTATACACACTTCCTCCGGTATTGACGGGCCATTTATCTCATGTAACAGGCTCTAGAAAATTTTTATAAAGTAAAATTTTGCTCGAAATGTAGATAGATAGATAAATAATTAATTTGCATTACAGCACACAAATAATAACAGACATTCACAGTAAAAAGAAAAGAATGCATATACAAAAAAATCAAAATATATACAACAACAATGTCCTTCTTTCATGCATGTGCCATAGTCATGTACGAAGTAATAAGGGTGTGAAAAAAAAGGCAAAAAAAAGCAATAGATAAATATAATTTATTCTAATATTAACGTTTAACTCAAGCACTATAATAAACTATAACTGAACTATACCTTCAAAATATAGTCCAAATTATCCAATGCGGTAGACGCAACATGGTAATGTTTTTCTGACTGAAAACTTCCTTTTAGATCGTCATTTTCACAATTTCTTTTCTTTGTAACTACATGTTTTAACCACTGATACGTGTAGGGAATTTGCAGTCTTTGATAAACTATAAATTTAATTATTTCGACAACAACATGTCCACATGATACAGATGTCAATTGGTCACCAATGTTCAGATCAACAACTATTGGTTTTAAATTCTTAGACATTGAATTCATTTCCAACAAACTTTTAATATCGCTCAATAATTTCGAATCAAATATAAATAAAGATTATTGACAATAATAGAACAATTTTTAAATCTAACCGTTAATAAAAAAGAATTGATGAACTTGACAATAGACTATTGAAATTTGACATTGACATGTGGACTGCACAGACCCTTTGCCTATTAATGAATAGAGGTAATTTTACATTAAGACAGTTGAATCTAAAATTCCACTGTCCAATACTTATACATAAAATATTTTTTATAGTAATTTACGCGAGTGAATTGTCAGAAGACGGACTATAAAAATATAAAATCATATTAATTATCAAAACAAACACGTTTTGGTAGGTATTCGTTATTTACTATTGAATACAGACTTTACTTACTTAGTCTATAATATGCTATAAAAAGGAATCTGAGTTTTCTTTACTTGCTTAATGCATATGAATAAGAATTAAATTCTATATTATTCAATTCTGTTAAATTTATATCATCATCTCAGCCATTATCTATCAATTGCTAAATTTAAGATCTACAATATTTTTTTCTGCTGTGAGCAATAAAATTTTGGCTTTGAGATAATATTTATACTTTTTTATATTTTCAGCCTGTTTATAGATTCCAAAACTAAATTCAAATAATTAGACACTTTTAATAAGTTTCATACCTATCAGAAACGTCGAATTATTTGAACGATTTTAATATTTTGTTGATGTCAATTTATGTAAAAATATATAAAAACATTTTTTTCTGCAAAATGTACCGAAACCAACAACTTATACACTTTGGCATCAATAAAATGCAGCGTATTTCAAGGCGGAGTTATGCCAAGGATGTAAAGTTTGGTCCGGATGTGAGATCACTTATGTTACAAGGAGTTGATATACTCGCTGATGCTGTAGCAGTTACTATGGGTCCCAAAGGACGCAATGTTATTTTAGAACAGTCATTTGGTCCACCAAAAATAACGAAAGATGGAGTTACAGTTGCTAAAGGTATTGAATTGAAAAACAAATTTCAAAATATAGGTGCAAAACTCGTACAGAACGTGGCAAATAAAACTAATGAAGAAGTTGGAGATGGAACTACAACAGCTACTGTTTTAGCTAGAGCTATAGCCAAGGAAGGCTTTGGAATAATTTCTAAAGGAGCCAACCCGATTGAAATTAGAAAGGGCATTATGCTAGCTGTAGATGCTGTACAAAAAAGGTTAAAAGAAATGTCTATACCAATTAAAACCTCGGAAGATATTGAGCAAGTAGCAACTATATCTGCCAATGGTGATAGAGAAATTGGGAAATTAATCGCTTCAGCTATGAATAAAGTAGGTAAAGATGGCGTTATAACTGTTAAAGATGGTAAAACATTAACTGATGAACTTGAAATAATAGAAGGCATGAAATTTGAACGTGGTTACGTATCACCATATTTTATAAATTCTACAAAAGGACCAAAAATTGAATATAACGATGCATTAGTTCTTTTTTCTCAGAAAAAAATATTTAACGTTCAACAAATATTACCAGCATTAGAAATATCTAATTCCCAAAAGAAACCTCTGGTTATTATTGCTGAGGATTATGACGGTGAACCGTTATCAGTACTTATTGTTAATAAACTTAAAATAGGACTGCAAGTTGCTGCTGTAAAAGCGCCTGGATTTGGTGATTTCAGAAAAAATGTTTTGTTGGATATGGCCATAGCTACTGGAGGTGTTTTGTTTGAAGATGATCCTAACCTTGTAAGACTGGAAGACTGCCAACTTGAAAGTCTAGGAAAAGTTGGTGAAGTTATTATTACTAAAGATTCAACTCTTTTGTTGAAGGGTAAAGGTAATAAAGTTGATATTAAACAACGTATTGATGAAATTAAAGAAGAATTAGAAAATACTACTAACGATTACGACCGAATACGACTTATGGAAAGATTGGCAAGACTGCAATCTGGTGTTGCATGTTTATTAGTTGGAGGATGCAGTGAAGTCGAAGTAAATGAAAAGAAAGATCGTATTAATGATGCATTAAATGCAACACGAGCAGCTGTTGCTGAAGGCGTTGTACCGGGAGGAGGAGCTGCATTGTTACGTTGTGCACCAGCCTTAAAAAAATTAAAACCAGCTAACTATGATCAAGCCATAGGTATTTCTATAATCAAAAAAGCTTTACGCACCCCATGTATTACTATTGCCACCAATTCTGGAATTGACGGAGCTGTTGTTGTGTCTAAAATAGAAGATATGTCGGATGAATATGGGTATGACGCTATAAATAATGAATATGTAAACATGATTAAAAAAGGCATTGTAGATCCAACAAAGATTGTTAAAAGAGCTCTGACAGATGCTAGCGGCGTAGCATCGCTTTTAACCACTGCTGAAGCTGTTATTTGCGATATGCCTAGGGCAAATGAAAGGCAAACACTTTCACAAGACCTCGCTAGGATGGGTGATTATTAAAATATGTTTTTGTATTTTTAAATAAATATTTATGTTTTATTATTTTTTTTTTTTTACGAAAATATTTTATCTCACTAATGTATCACTGTATTTATACAATAAGTCGATTCTGAATCGTTATTTCTCTAAATTTCTTTTTTAACCTAATGTTTTAATTTTATAGTTTTGGGAAATTACTGTTGTATGGACAATCATAAATTAAATTTGTAATAATCTTATGTACTTGAAATTCAGTTCATACTAGCTGTATCCTGCTAAAAATCCACTATGCTCATTCCATACATAGATATGAATTCAAGTCACTTTATATACAAATATGTTTATTATATATAAGAAATACTGGTTGCGAAATTAAATTTATTTTCAGAGGTTTTTTGATATTTTTTCCTGAAAGTGTGCTAATTAGAAACATTGTTTTATTTTTCCTTCAATATTTACATATAATTTTAAAAACTACTATTATCTAAAATTTTTGCTCCATAAACTTCAGAGAATAAAGAAGGGGGTTATTATATTTTTTTCTTATTTATAACATACTAATGATCCGCTTGAACTCCGCACGGGTAGAAAGAAAATATTATAATTCTACTTTGTATATAGCTTATGTTACTCAGGAATAATGTGGCATCCTAGTGGTTAAAGAAATCGATTCAACAATTTTTTTATTTGTTCGTTACAAATATACAAAACTACAAATCCTTCCTCTTTATAATATTAGTGTAGAAAAGCAGTTATAAATTATTTTAGAAAGCGAAGATAGAAAGTATAATCATATTAAAAGTTTCGAGTACTGTTTTGGATCCTCTAACAAAAGAAAATAAAAATATTTTTCAATTATTTCTTTTGCAATACCTAATGCATAATCGTAATAAAACGGGGACCGGATAGGCCGTGCCCATTTTAAAATTGTCTGGTAGTCTGCACTTCAGGACGTGAATGAAGCTTCGAAAAAACATGTCTAAGAGTACATATATACTTTTTAAAGGGCCAGTCAGCCCCTTTGGAAAATTATTTTAAATACGTCAATACCTATGTGTAGTTAACTATTTCTAAAACTATTCACAAATTTCAAATTCATAACATTTATAGATACTGAAATTAAGATATGTCAAATAGACGAATGGATAAATAGAGAAATCCTATTTTCTCTCATTTTTACATAAATTTTCTACAATAACTATTTTCGTAATGACATATCTACTGTGTTTGGAGCATAGACTAAGGATAGTATCATAGTATTTATCTAAATTTTGACTTTACCTTCACAATTCTTATGTCAATGTCACTGCCGCCAATGACAGCCATGACAACGACATTGTCATTGGTAATAACAATACTATATTTTATTTTGCCGCGAGTTTATCCGCTTAAAGCAGTTTTTGTGATTATTTTTAACAAATTTCTTTATTTCTTTGCCTTGAATTACCTTATATTTAGAAATATTTACAAAATTAAAATATTTTTCATATTTGTTACATTCTTAAATGGATGTATATCCACTATATTTAGTCAAATATAACTAATTCATAATGTTTTAGAGACACTTATGTTCTTTTTAGTATGGGTAATTCAAATTCCTGAACTACAATGGCTAATGATCACTGTTCTGACCTGTTATTAGAATTACAAGTCACTGATAATATAATGAGCACTGCTATAGAGTCACCACGAAGCAATTCTCCCAAAGTGATTGATAAAAATGAAATTACTAATAACATCGAAAGTGGGGAATACAGCGATCAAGACCAAGATCTAGTGAAACGAGGAAAGAGACGAGTGCAACAGTTTTCAGACAGTGAAAGTGATGAAGAGAAGGAAAATTGTCCAAATGGTGTTAATGCTTTAGGTTTAAATAATGAAGAACTTTCCCCTAATAACCAAGACACACGACCAGAAAGTAATGAGGAAACCACAGAGGTATCAAAAATTTGTGTTCATAAATCTAGGATTAGGACTATTTCAACTAGTGAGGACGATAGTGATGCAGCATGTTCTGAATCTGTTTTTATTAAGAATGAACAACAACAATTACGAATGTTAAACAAAAGGAAAAAATTAAAAGAAAAATTTAAAAAAATTACTTTGTCCCGTGGGAATAATGATGAAATGGGAAAGGTTTTAAATACTAATACTAAAAGTGATTCATCATCTGATCATTTTAACAATGTAAGCTCTGAGAGTTCCTGTGATGAAGACTCATCAGTTGTTAAAATTAAAATGGTTTGTATTAAGTATTCTACTCTTATTATGAGTGTGAAAATTTGTAAAGATATTTTGATGGATAGATGGATGTTTGTTATTCTTTCATGCAAAAATACTGAACAGCTTTGAATGAAATGTAGTATAAGGATAGATTATATCGTAACTTTGCAAATAGGATACTTTATGTATTGTATATTTTATTGTATATATATGTATGAGATATGCAGACAAAACCACATTGATTCCACACTGTCACCATATGGAGCAAATATTTGTATCATAATAAAAATTTATCTCATCATATTATTCAGATAGACTTGTTTACAAGCACTTTTTAATTGCCATTTTTGTAATCTACAGCAGTTGTTGTCTGTTGAGAAGAACCCGTAAGAAACTCAACAATTACTCTTACAAATCTCTGTTAAATATTATGTGTATTTATTTAAATATACTATGTCTAAAATTACATGGTTGTTAAAAGCCCATGTATGATCTAACACCATGCACATTTGTCATTCAAGTAATTGTTTAGTGTGTGACAGGCTGTATAAATATGCTTTGGATGTTGGCTTTTTTACCCCATAATAATATTTCTTCATTATTATTGTAATATATATTTGCAGAGTGTTAAAAAAGAAATGACTACATTCAAGACTACTCTTTGTGATCCTGACACTTCCGATGAAGAGACTCATTCAATAAAATCACCACAGAAAAAAAATGAAAGGAAAACAACTATACTGACATCACCAAAACCCATGAGGGTAAGATTTAATGAATTTGTTTTAGAATTTTGAATATTTTAAATAAAGACTATTAGATATACTAAACAACAACATGTACTCTTAACTACTATATATTCTAGACTATTAGTAGACATATTTAAAGAATGTAACTTAATATTTTGAAGCTAAAAGAATAAAATGTAATACTTATTGTATGTAATGAAAATTAATAATTAGATAAATATTTTAAACTAAAATTAAAATCTCATTGTAGTTAAAATAAATTTACATACTTAAATTATATGTAATTATGTAATAGTATTTGAACATTATATTTACTGCTTAATTTGTATATTTTACTGTTATTAGCTAACTGCAAAACAAGCATTAGAGAATATGCAGAAAATAAAAAGTGAATCCAATCGAATGCTGCGTGAAAAAGAAGTATCATTACCTTATCACCGGCCAAAAGCATTATCTCTTAAAGACATAATGAGTAGAAGAAAGCCAGCAGTTGCTTCAGATGGTAAAGCTTTGCCAATCAAAATGAATAATGAACAATTAAAACAATATGTGTGAGTATATATTTATCATAATTGCTCATTCTTCAATTTTACCAGAAGGAGACTTTGTACAAGAGTTGTTTGCTTGAGTACCTCTGTCCCATTCGTGTTTCTACCATGGAGCAGTTGTTTTTACATGGCTACATTTCAGTTTGAAGGATAAGATATGGTAGTGAATTTACAGGGTACAGAGGAATATTATCTTAGTGTTTAGGAATGACAATGCATGGGGGTATAATGGTGAAACAGTATACTCTGTTATGTCCATGGTACTGCTCATGTATATAGGTGGTGGTTACCACTTACCATTAGGTGGGCTGTCAGCTTATTTGCCATTCTAAGTTGCATAAAAAATATTTAAATGGTTTTGTAAATTACTGCTAATTTAATTTATTAATCTTATTAATATTATAATTGTGAATAATTCAAGCAAAGAAATGGGTACTTAATCTAAATTACTGTAAAATATAAATAGCTAGACAGGTTTGAATTAATATTTTGTGGATAGACTATATCTGTATGATATTAACACAGAGCATTGCAAGTGTGGCAACTATTGGTAAACCCCCTCTATAGGGGGAGGTCAATGTTCAGTGATAGACATTGAACCGATGTGTCATATAGTCCCGGTTTAGAATAGGCCACCCCTTCCGTTTTCGTGGGTGTCATAAAAAGCGACTAAAGAAACTTAATAGTTGAGCCCCTCAATAGAGGAGGCCTATGTTTAGCAGTGGTTAGTTAATGATTGATATGGTATGGTAATGATAAATGCAGAGCATATTTATTTATTTATTTTACACTTTATTGCAACAAGTAAAAAATAATAAATACTGTGAATATTAATGAGAAATGATACAAAAGGCGGCCTTATCTTTAAGCAATCTCTTCCAGAAAACCTCTTGAGTTGAGGACATTGAGAAAAAGACAGGGTAGGTAGTGCACTATTACATAGATAGTAATATATACAAACATAATTTTATTTTTATATTGCTCTGTGGTCCCGGTATAGAATGTGTCTTCCCTTGATTTCCCATGGGTATCATAGGAGGCGACTAAGGGAATTTTATGGTCGAGGGATGGGCAGCAGTGTACCTTTTAAAACAAAAAAAAGCGAAACTGTGAACAGTCCATGGAGAAGTATATGTGCAGTAGTAGGCAGATAACAGCTGATTTGGTGGTGAAGGGATTTATTTTATTTTTATTTTTATTTTATCTTTATTTGGTCTCCTAGTAATTGTTACACTGATAAGATTTAATATTTAAATTACCGTCTATTTATACTTAGTGTACAATCATTTTAAAGGAAACACAGCATGCTAATTAACAAAAACAATAATATAGTATAACAATCTCTTGAATTGAAAGGGATTGTTAATATTGGGGATTAGCATCCTCATTGCTAGCCATAAAGTATAAAGTCGACCTCCCCTCCGCCTCGTAGTTTCCCCTGGAAACCTTCGTGCTTGATTTATAGTTGCATTTGTCAATATGAGCTAACTGATGTTCATCATCTCTCATTGGTGCCCCATCGGGAAAGAAAGAATTGTTAGTAATGTACACTACCAGCCCCATTGCTAGCAATAAACCCTGTCAGGTCTATCTTCATGTCGTCCCCCCTGGAAATTATCGTGTTGAATTCCGGTATTTATCACGATGTACTACTGACCTGCCTACCCACCTATCAACCCTCACTTGTGGCCGGCCAGCGTATACCGTTAGTGCGAGGTTGCCATTCTATTATCAACCATAAAAATAACTGGTTCCCTGCTAGTGTATACCGAAAGCGCAGGCGGCTATACCATTCCAATATCATCCCTTAAAAAAACAGCTGATATGATGATGATGATAATTTTTATTCTAAAAATATGAGCATAATGAAAAATTTTATTGTGATATTCTTTAATGATACATCATTTTTTTTTTTATAGGCAATTGCTAGAGCAAAGACAGAAAGAGATGATGGAACTATGTAAAAGTGATACAGACGAAGAAGAAGAAAGAGAAATAGAGCCACAATATGATTGTTTAAATCTAGAAACTGATTTAAATAAACCAGAAAAAAGCAAAGAAAATGAAATCTGTGATAATAATGATGCTAGCAATGAAAATGAATATACAAATATTACTCAGTGTCTCGATAATGCAAATATTGATAAAGAAAAAAAATCATCAGGATTACCTGAAAATGTTTTAATTGATGAAACTAAAGACATTTCTAATTCTGAAATGAAACTTATTAATAATGATTTTGCAGTAGATGTTAACATGTCAGTTGATAATGAAAATAAACATGCTGACTCTGACGAAAACGTAATAGATAAAGAAGCAACGGCCCCTTCCTTAAAACAAGCAATAGATAGTCAATTGTTGTCTTTACATTATGACTCAGATATACTAGGAATTGGCAAAGAAATCAATAATTCGGATGTGTATATTAATACTAATAATAAAACTGAGAAAACAAATGAAGAATATAATATGATTGAAAATGACTTTGATAATGATTTGAACATTGAAGAAATAGATAAGATTATAGAAAATGCTGAAATAATTAAAGGTTTGTTACTTTTTGTAACTTTACATGTAATTATATATATTTATTTGCTTCATACACTGGTCACTTATGGGGCAAGTAGAAAAAATGTGTGCTGACAATTCTTCCTCTTATATTTGGTTTTATTCACTGTTATTGTTTTATGTTTTTAAGTCATTGAAATTTTTCCCATATTCCAGATTCTAATTGTAAAGAAAATAAATTACTCATGTCTGAAACAGGTGTAATACCAAAAAATATCATGCCTAAGTTAACTGGAGCTCCTGGAATGGTTATTGATCTGGATGCAACTGATCCATTTGCAGTAAACAAACCATCAGGTGTTGAATTACTAAAAGAGAGGTTCACATACTTTGCAAAGCTTAAGACACCTGAGGAACTGGAGAGAGAGAAAGAGAAGAGGTAAACTATTCTTGCAGCTTTTTCTTTTTAATTTCATAATATTTTTTTTACATTTACTTATAAATATATTTTTTTATAGATTGAAACCAGGTACTCAACATCTAAAACTGAAACAAGAACTTGAAGAAAAAATTGCTGAACAGAGATCACTGGAGTGGGCAAAACGATTGGAAAAAGAAAAGCAAAATAATTTAGAAATTAATGATGATGATAGAGGTAATGTTTCAGATGAGGAAGATATTGAGAAAATTGAGGCTAAGTTAGAACATGATGAGGCTTTGAAAAACGAATCTTCGGGAAGCGAAGAAGAAGAAGAAGAAATGGATGATATTGAAGAATTAAAAGATGTGCCAAGAAAACGAAATCCTATGATTGATGATGAAGCTGAAGAATCGGATATTGACGAGTGTGATGATGATGATGAGCTTAAAGCAAAAGATGGTAAGAATAAAAGAAGTAGTGCATATGCAGAAATAAATGATGAAAATGACACTGAACTAGAAGAGGGCAATGACGATAATGAAGATGATGTTGAAGAAGATAATGATAGTGATTCAAATGAAGATGAATCTTCAGAATCAGAAGTTGAAATTAATTCCAAAACAAAGAAAGGTAGAATATTGAAAGCATTTGAAGACTCAGATGATGAAGAAATCTCTGTTAAGTCAGATATTCAAGAAGTAAAAGCTTTAAACGAGAACAACAATAAACAATCTGTAGATGATAATCCTGATTTTATTGTGAATGACTTACCGAATCACAGTCATGCTGAAGGTGAAACGCAAGGTGATTTAATAAATTTAAAAATATGCTATGACAACATCTTAAATTCTGAGATATTAATAATATTTGATTAAAGTAATAATTAATAATTAGCACTTTTAGTCCTAAAATAAGTGTCCTTTGTTTTTGAAATATGTAAATACTTCATATTATTTTGAGTCAGACAATTTACTATTATGCAATAGAAAAAGGTTTCAAATATGTTAAAATAAATTTTCAGCAATATGTTCTTAAAATTTTTAATTCCAATATTTTATTCTTATTTTTAGATGATGATTTACAATTAGCTCAAATACACAAGTCTTTTTCTGAAGATCTATTTACAAGTCAAGAAAGCGGGGTGATCGGTTCCTCTAATCCAAAACAGGCCAAAGAAGGTGATGGACTTGATTTGGGAACACAAACATTTTCTATTCTTAACACTGATGGGAATAAAAAATCTAATGGAATGTTTAACTTGGGTGATGCTGATAAGTTGACTGTTATTTGTGAAACACAACCTGATGATGTGAGTTTATATACTTATAATGTTAATCAATCATATTTATAGATAACAAATACCCACGACTTCAACCGCATGCTTTCTTTTTTATTAATTTCCTTTAATTAATTAGCTAGTACAGAATTCTAATTTAATTCTTTAAATTTATTTTGGTAGGTCCAGAGTTTAACTTTGGGTTTATTAAATATTAATTAAAATTTAACTGAATTTTAAACTGTATAATAAATAATTTTATTTTTGCTGATATTGGTTCAGTTATTTGCTTGTCATATTCAACATAATGTAAATATATTTTTGAAATTTTTTACAGGATAATTTGGACGCTATTGTAGGCATGTGCTCTGGAAGTTTTTCACAGAATTTAGTCACATCACAATTCCCGACAACTCAATCTCAATCTCAAGTCATTGGTGAAGATATATTGAATCTCTGCACTGGGAAGTTTTATAATAACGAATTTGTCTCACAAATCGATGACGGTGTTAAAATAAATGCTATAGATAAAGCTTCTCAAAAAATTATAGAAGAAACACATACAGAAGATTCGTCAGGACCCGCCAAAGCAGAAAATGATCAAAAATCTGGAGAAAGTAACTTATTAAAATCAATACTTGATGAACTAAATGACCCTGAGTTTGATATTCCTAAAGGCAACAAATATTTTCCAAGTAATACACAAAACAATGAAAATAATATGCAATATAAAAAGAAATTTGTGATAGAATCAGATGATGAAATTGATAAACCAACTGATGTTAATGGGACAAAAAAGAAGAAAAAAAATAAAAAGAAAAAGCTAGAAAAAAGAGCACTACAAATATCAGGTATGCAGAGATTACATAAAATACATGCATATAAAAATTCATTTAGGATTTTATTTTGTAAAAATTATTATAATATCATTCAATAATATCTGTAAAGATGTTCTATCTATTAAGATTAGGATTAGAGCTAGAGTATTGTATTATTTATTGATAATCCAATTGGAAGATAACAAGGTAATTAATAATAAGATAATTAATGTATAATTAATTTTTTTTGTGCATAGATGATGAAGATGAATACTCAGAAGAAGAAATCGATGACGTCATGTCCGATGTTGAGGAAGATGCTGAAGAGAATGCTGCTAAGTTTGTAGAATATGACTCTGAAGAGAATGAGGTAAAGTTATTAACATATATAGTATTACAGAGTATAGATACAAATATAAATATAGATATGATTTGACTTGCTTCTTATAAGCACTCGCTATTTTTAACATAAAAAAAAAGTATTTTTAGAGATAAAATACAATGTGAAGTATGATTCAATACTTATATAATGATGCAAAGTGGGAAAAAATTGTAAAAATAAATTTGTATTGCATTACAGGTAGAAGTGAAGCCTCAAAACTCGAAAAAGAAGCGCAAAATGGCGGAATTTTTCGAACAGGAGGCTGAACTGACTTCTGAAGATGAATGGGTAGGCTCAGGAGACGAGGATGAGGCCGGTCTGGACCGCATGGAACGCGAAGAAGGTGACGACGAGACCTTTAATCAGACGAAGTTGCAAAGGGAACTCGGCCAGATTCACCTGTGTGTATCCATTGATTTTTTTGTTCGTTCATATTTGTTTGAATTTTAAAGTAAAATGCCATAAATAAGAGTTATGCTTATAATCTATATTTGTTGGTGATTTATGCGTGTATTTTAAGATAAAAATAAGCTACTTAGATATTGATTTAATTTGTACAATTGTAAAACTATTTATATTGATATTTAAATTAATATTATAATTTACACCATCACGACATTAAATATATAATACGTTTGGGCGAAACAGTATACTCTGTTATGTCCATGGTACTGTTCATGTCTATAAGCGACGGTTACCACTTTTCGTCAGCTTGTTTGCCATTCTAAGTTGCATAAAAAAAATGCACATATATATATCTATCTATAAGTATAGGTAAAAACTGGGAGGTTGTAATTTCGCCAGTTTTTTTCTGTATTTATATTACGCGATATTCTCGATACAATTGTAAAGCAACTTTTTCATTTATTTTTGCAATCGATGAGCTTAACTCTCGCGTTGGTCCTTTATTAATTTATTCAAAACCAAATTATTAAGTTATTTTACTTATTTACTTGCATCTTGTATATGGACATCAAATTCGTTACGAAATAAAAAAAAATAATTTCAGGCGTGACGTACTAGATCAAGACAAGCGTGAAGTGAGAATTATACAAGAGTTGATGTTTGAAGATGGCGATTTGGGTGTCGGTGGACGACAACGGAAATTCCGTTGGCGCAATACAGGTATTATATATACAATACAATTATATGATGTTAAATCAAAACTTTGTAGTTTTAGATGATTTAATCCTTACTAATATTATAAATGTGAAGGTGAGATTGTTTGTTTGTTACCTTAACCTATGACTATGTAATTTGGTATATACATATACTATATGGGATAATCAGTAAAAAGTCACGCGGACGCAATTGCGGGGAAAAGTTAGTTATCACATAAAAACTATTAACTACAATTACATAACAACCACAGCGCCATGGTTGTCATAAAAAAAAATATTATTAACCGTTTTCCGCCGCCTTGCTTGCGTGAATTAGTATTCTTAGTGTTAAGATATATTTTATCCATGTACGAAATTTCATTCGAATCCATTCAGCAGTTTATGTGTGATTAAGTAACAAACATTTTTACAGATTCACATTAATAACCTTAATAGGAAAGGATTGACCCAAATTTAAATTATATGGTGACTATTAGCATTCTCTAATTGCCCAAATATTTCGTATTTTTAGATGGAGAGGAAGAAGTTGGTACAATGTCCGACGACTTTGCTGACACTCAAGAAGAAGAGTTTGAATCTGAGGAGCAGTGGCGCAAACAACGCCACGAGAGAGAAGTTTACTTGCGCCAAATGGTAAATTATTGACTGATTCCACTTCTCATATAATATTATCGATTTTACCGCTTGTCAAGGTGAAACACACATCAGATTTTTAATTCTACGTTTAAGAACGCTACTGTGAAAACCGCATCCGATTTGGTGCAATAGTTTTTGCTAATCCTGGCATAAACCTACAGTACAATATTATTATATGTGTTTAAGCATTAATAATATGCCATAAATATTCATCACTCCTGCATATAATGAAGTGTTTTCAGCGTTAAAGCCAATGGACGACTGCTAAGTTATTAATAAACAATCACCCACAACAACAACCATTCACAAGAGTCGCTCATCACTACATCGTGAGAACGCCAATCATAACGTAGGAGAAATGTACATGACCTTTCAGATTTCAAATTGTAACTAACTTGCAAAACAAACTGCAGCGCATTACATCAAATTTATATTACATCAACGCTTAAAAATTATTTATTTTTTATTTACCCTAGTTAAACCGCTTCAAATACTAGGTGTATTTATTCATCATCATCATCATATCATCCGTTCATCATCAAAACGCAAACGCACATCAATTACAATATGTATATAGATTAGTCGTTATTCATAAAAAACGTTATTTTTCTAACCCTTGAGAATTCCTTGAAATTCCTCGTCAATAATCTTAAGTAAAATGTGAAACCTGTCAATTACTATCTGTCTATAATAATTTTGTAAATAAGAGATTTTCTCTAAAATTATAAATGGAAATGATTACAAAGAGAACTATTAAAGTTAGTTTAGAATTGGCGAAGACAATGCGTAATATTCATAAACATATTCGTAAAAATATAATATTCATAAACATATAATATTCTAAAAAATACTAACGGTTATTTATGCATTTAATAGCTCACTTCTTGAGGAATGTTATTCAACTATAACAATCGTAGACGAAACCGAGGGATGCAGCTAGTAACTTAATATCTAACAATATTTTTAGGAGCAAAAACAGGACGAGACAGAAGACAATCTCAATATGAGTATAAACAGAACAACAATAATCAAAGCGAATCTGTGTTCGAGGACTATGTCTAACTTACTATCCGAAGTCAAGAAGACAACAGATGACAAGGCAAATAGTCCTACAGTCCTGGAAAAGAAAACAAATAAAGACATACCAAGTCCCAAGAAAGCTTTTGCTGTATTTCAGGTAATTTTTTATCATTACCACAGTATTAAGTAATAAGTTTATGTAGTAAGATTTTTTATCTTTTCTATAGTTGTCTAATGGTCTATAGTTTTTATTTTCTATAGTTGTTAAACCATAGACTTAGTATAACATACTATGTAACAGCAAAAATAGAGTAGAGTTCCAAATTGTCATGTAAACGCTCAGCATATTTTACTGATTATTCATTACGCTGGTTACGCTTTCAAGAAGATTGTAATTTATTTATTTATTGAAATGAAATGAGATTTATTCGTAAAAACAACTGTAAGTTTTTAAATTTTCTAAGAATAATAATATAGTTTTAAATGGGTACAATAGTTATGGTTTTAAAACTGGGCTCTTAAATAGGTTAGTATATTATCTGTGTTACAGGGGCTACAGCCCCAACCCCCATTGATATAAAGTAACTACAACAAGGTTTTGTACATAATTTAACAATTAAAAATAAACAGAAATAAAATACATTATTTAATTGAAATTTTATCATAAATAACATTCATGATAGTTAATTACAGTATGAGGATGTATGAAAATAATGCCAGTAGTGAAGAAAATAAATTTTCATATGGATATGTTAGGTGGAATGAAGAACACATTTTAAATATGGTGTTAAATATAAATGAGGGAATGTCCAAAGATAGAAGTATGATGATGAACATGAAAGTGATGATTGACAGACAGATTAGAGTTGGAGTAAATTTTTCTTTTCTAAGTCAGTAATATGTATTTCTCTGTGTAAGAAATAAGGAGACCGAAACAAGGTGTCGATATTTAAAATACAGAATCTGGACTTTTACGCGATGTAAAAGCCTTTATAGGTAAATAGTACCTACATACCTGCTTCTTTATCGCCGACGTTTCGACGTAGATTGCACCACGCCGTGGTCACGACAGGACCTCTAAAGACTTTTACATCGCGTTAAGTCCCTATTTTGTACTTAAAATATGTGTAAATAACGCGAAAATTTAAAATTAAGATGTCCATAATAATATTCAATTCACAGACCAAACTTATATTAAATGTGATTATTTATTTATACAAAAAATAAACATGTTTTCAGAATTAAACTTGATATTGATTGCAGCAAAGTTACCACGGCTCGTTACTATCACGAGGACGCGGCTCCCTCGCTCGGCTAGCGGCGCTCGCTACACCGCTGGCGGTCGACGATGATGCCCCAAAGTTCAGCTCATTGTTACCGTCCAATAAAAAGAACTTTGTTTTCGCTGCTCTTTCACAAGAAGACAATAAACCTAAGGTGGAGTTTATCTTAATTTCTTTGTTTACCTTAATATCCAAAATAGTTTAATCAATTTTAATGAAATTATGCAAATGGACATTTCTTAATCTAATTTGAGAATTTGACAGTAGAGAATAAAATTATATTTGCGGGATCAGTTAGCATATAATTTTAGGTTTCCACATAATATTTATTTATTTATTGAAATAGTTGTAACATTATATAGAAACCAAATAATAAACAACTTCAACCGTAATAGAGTCTAAGACCGGAACAAGCTTTTTCAGTTAAAAGCAAATAGAATATATATTACTGTCTATGGTCGACTGGTGGATAACGCCCTATGGTGTTAATTTCGTCATTTAAACTTTCTATGTGTATTAAAATTTAATAAATAAAAAATAAATATAGTAACATAATTAATTATATAAATAATGTAGCCGTCAAGATAGTTGATATACTTGATTTTCACTTATTCAACTGTTTTTACAATACCTAATTAAAAATAATTGTCAACTTCCAAAACTGCACTTAACATGATATTTAATTAATATTTATTTAGATTACTGACAAATTACATATTATAATTTTTCAACTTTAACTCAATTTACTTAAAAACTGGTTTTGTTCTTTTTTATTTTGCTTTATTTTTATACTTATTATAAATTGACGAAATTATTACAGGTTACAAAAAGAAAAGCTGAAACCAAAATCGGTACTCCAAGACTGGTGAAGAAAATGAAAACTGAAGAAAATAAAAAATTACCTAAAAATAGTTTATTTGACTATTTAAATGTATAGATAGTAGCATAGTATAGTATAAATGTTTTAAATTAACTTTTATATTTATAATTTTATAATAACGACACACAGTTTAGAATAATTAATGACAATAACTAGACCATTTGTTGTATTATATGATAGCACAATAAAAGTGTAACAATAGTATTTTATTCTTTATTTTTATGTTACATGTTTCAAATAAGTACCTATATTAACCCATGAGAGATTATATCATCCTTTATCTACGTACAAAAGTTAAACGAAACAAATTATATCATTAATTTTCCTAACAAGCAACTTGCTTGAACTATATTTTGGATAGAAAATTGAAGACATTATTCAAAGGGTTCGTACAATCAATATGGCGATAGACTTCATCATGATCATAAAGTCTATCACCATCACCATCAGATAGTCATCATCATTTCGACCATTATCTGTCTACTACTGAACATATTCCCCATAGACTACCATAAATAACGGCCCTGAGTCCCCTGCAACGCATTTCAGGTCGTCACACCATTGGAGGGGGGGAGGTTATAATCTTTATGAGACATGAACTGAGGTGACTGCGGTAATAAAAGTTAATTTCGCAAGGTTATACATTATTTAGATTTGAAAGAGAAAAACAAAAACTGTATGGCTATAATAAAGCACATTTTTTTACAACACAGAGGGCAAACGAGCATACGGCTTACCTGATGGCAAGTGACTATCGCCGCCTAATTGTAATACATTACAATTTATTAATACTATATAATACTGATAATCGCAGTGTCGCGAAATTCTGACTATTAATACATATAACACAGAAAGAAATATATAGAAACATACTCAAGTCTGGAACGCAATCACGATTTTTGTTCTTGACGTACAAAGGAGACGCAATCTAGATTTACACAATGCAAGCAAATGGGACAAGGACGCTGGGTGCTCACTCATATATGCGTTAACAGTTGAAATAAAATATGTGATCCATATTAATAGATCATGATATCATGCATAAGTCATGAACTAGGTTAAATAGTAGAATAGAATTAATTCCTATTCACACAAATTTTATGTGAAAACAAACTGTCAAATAACAACACCTTAAACTAGAAGTAAGCAACAAAATAAATCAGTTGCAGTTTACAAGTTATAATGTGGTTTCAGTGACAGTAGACTAGTTCCGAGTCAACAAGAAAGGTCATTTTTCCGGTTTATCCATTACGATGGACAAAATGATCTATTATCCTACACTGGTACCCTGTTTTACTGATGGTTATACTGTAAAGTCTTAGTGTAAAGCGTATACCAATAGCGCAAGCGGGGTAACCATTTCATTTTCATCTCTAAAAAAAATCCGGGTTCTGTTCAATTCACGAAAATAAAACAAGGCTGATCATGTATCAAAGTTCTTTAGCGTGTGTCATACATATACCATAACAATGTATAGTCATTCTAATATTCAAAAGTTGTTTGTCGCACAAATAGAAGTGTTATTGTTTTAAATAATAATAAAAAATGTCTAACTACTCTAACCTATATGCTCCTGAAATGAAGAAAATGTGGGAGAAAACTCTCTTCTCGCTTTTTTTACCTACACTTATCTACTTCGTTAAAGACTTAGCGCGAACTTAATTATACTATCTTCAATGTTTTTCATAGCCTAAAATTATTGAACTTTCAACTTTTATATTTTTCAAAATACGCGGGTTATAGTAAAAACTATTTGCCAATATAAACACAAACACGACAAGTAGTTGCCATATTAAATCTTTGGTTTTTCTGGGAGAATTACAGTATTCTCTCCAATTTTACACTAGGCACATGATTCTGTTTTAGCGTCATTATATGTATTTAATTATAAAATATGTTTTTATACTATATACATTAGCATTTATACATACATTATAAAAATATATGGGAAATTCACATAATGTAAACAGTACCTGATATAGCTTAGAAATAGTGAGATTGCTATTAAGACTTCGAGAATATTTTTTTTAAATTTAGGGTAACAGCTAAAGTTCACCTTTTTATGTTATTAGCAATCTATAAAAACGTTGTAATGCTATATAATAAAGTGTTCGTTCTTGATTTAATATCATCATCATCATCATCTCAGACATTTGTCCACTGCTGAACATAGACGTTGCCCATAGACTTCCATAAGGAACAGCCCTGAGTCCTGAGCTATCTGCATCCACTGACTCCCTGCAACGAGATGCGTTGAACGAGATTTAGATGAAGCGACGACCTCGATCGTCGTGGTCGTCGCTTCAGGTAAATAGGGGGGTTGTCCTACACTGTGTTTGCTCATACGGGGTCAAACTCAAGAATCTTTCTGCTCCATCGGTTATGTCGACGAATATTTGACAGTCGAGATCGATTTTCGTGAGTTAGATCTTTAAAGCGTCAATCAAATCCCTTCAATTTGTATCAAAATTTATTTCATCAAAGATCGGAAATCCCAATTGAACGTTTATCGACGGATATCTAAATTGATAAAATTATTTATTTTATAAAGTGATATTTGCTTACAATTGTTCAAATGCTATTTAGTATTTTTATATTGTAATATTTGTATTTTAAGAACTTTATAATATTTTAAACTTGGTTATGGAGTTTAAAATACGGATATGGTAATCTGTCTGCAGAAAACTAAGTTTTATAATATTGAGAACATTGATTCCAAATGTCTGTATCCTTCCGTTTCCTCTCTCTTTTCCTCTTCGTTAAATCATTCTATCTCGCTTATTTCACAGTAAAAAAGCATATAGTTTGCGCGTCTATCTCGCTTATCTTGTCCTTCGCCGTCAGTTTATTCGCCGGTCGTGCTCTTTCTCGTGCGTGGCGTTCAATAAATGCTTTTTTTCCGTGGTGCGGGGAAGTAACATACCGTGAAAGAATTTCTAGTCAAATAAAATCGAATACTGTATAAAAGTACTCCTTTTATAGGCAGTACTAACGTAACGAAATGGCGAATGAAAGTAATGAAATCGGCAGCATCATCAAGAAATGTAAAATTCTTTTGTTGGACATCGAAGGAACAACAACATCGATCAGCTTTGTTAAGGTAGGTCTGATGACCGGCCGGTGTTTTGTTCTTTGCATTTGCGCTTATAAGAATGATATTACTTATTCTTACTTGTTTCTTTTTAAAATCTCGTGAATTAAACTTGATATTGGTCAGTAAGAACATGCGAAATGGTCGCATTTAGAATTCGCAATATGGTGGACGAAATCAAAATGGTACCTCTATTCATGCCGCTTTCATTGTCTGATTTTTCATACATGTACATTGAAATCTTATAGTTTGTTTGATATTTAAGTTGGTTTTTTGTTTAATATTTTAATATTTAAATTATTTTAAATTTATACCATGTTCGTATTTAGGATGGGAAGAAACATTTTATAACCCAAAATATAGCTATATCATGGTTTAGGGAAGTACCTACATAATATTGTAAATTTATGAAGTGAAAGGCGCGCCGATTTTATATTAAAGGGTCTTCTAGACATTCCTTCGTTGTTAGAAACGTGCTAGGAAAGGTGGCGGCCGGCACGAACAGCTGTTTAGAGCAGCTGGCTTGTAAAAAAAATGTGGAACAGTTAACTGTCCTCTTTCAATAGACGTCAAGTATCTCACTCCATCCTTGTTCCTCTCATTGCCGACGTGCTGTAATGATGGGGATAAAAAAAATGATTGACGTTTCTTCCATACGCGGAATAATAATATCAACGACGACGACCGCGTACGAACGACTTGCGATTTCACTATCAGTCAGTTTTTATTAGTATGGTAGGTGCCTTATATTATTAAAATGAAAAAGGTCAATGCGTACATTAAGGCGTTTTACTATGAGATAGAAAATTTTATCTACAAGCCAGTATCTTCAGTGGACATATAGAGAGCCAAACAATTGTCAAAGGTCTGTATTCAAAGCTAAATGCCCTGAAAGATGTAAGATATCTGTAACATTGTGCATTTTAAATTTATAAATACACAGTATAAATACATAGTAAACTTTGTTTTTTTTTAAATATATAACTGAAAACATGTTACTTCACTACTCTCTCTATGCTATAGTGTGACACAGGTACAGGTTACTCAATCATGTTGTGAAAATTTATTATCACTAATCCACAATACAGTTGAGGAAATATCAGTTATTCCTATTAGATTGACTTTAAATAATAAAATTTCATTCATTATATGTAGGCAGTTTGTTTACAGTAAAAACTGTGTTAACTGTTATCTGCACACATAAAGTATAAATTTATTTATGTCATTCTATAGATTTGACAATGTATAAATATATTACTTTATATTTTAATGTAAAAAAAGTTCAGGATTCACATTATTCCATATGATTCTCTTAAAACTGTCTACAATTTATTTTAAATAAATTGAAAAACTATTTTTAGAATATGTATTTTTAAAAAGGTTTCATAAGTCATATACATATATAAAAAAAAATGGGCATCAATTATTCAGTAATTTAGTTGTCTTGGGATAATATAAAAAACTTTTACTTTATTTTTATCTTATTTTTTATTTATAAAGTTTCTTAGCAGTCCTTTATATTGGTTTCGTACTTGTTAAATGAATAGTTAATAAATTAAAAACAGTTTTCTATAAGTCAGAGAAAACTTTAGTCAATATCAACTTTATAGAAGAGTGAACTAAATTATTTTTAATTTATTTTTTTGTAATTTTTAAAGTTAATAAACAATGTTTTTAACAGTAATAATTTATTTTTGTTTGAGTTGCGTTAAATAGATTCTGCTTGCATTATCAAATATAATGCAAGGAAATATTTATTAGTATTATTTAATATAAAGATTTTGACTTAAAAATCTGCTGACAGCTACTCAATAGAGATAAATTAATGGGATCAAACTCAAAGAAATTGCATTGTTTTATTAAAAATACCATAAAAATTCAATAACAATACTATCTTTATTTTCTTTTTTAAGTCAAAGCCAATTGCCTTGACTATTGCACTGTCTCCAAAGTTTATAATTTGATATTTGTGCACTATGAATAACAAACTACTAATATTATGCAGGCTAGTTTTGTAAACATTTATGACAAATATAAAGTGAAAGACAAAATGTGGCCAGTTACATAAAAAGCTTCAAAAAAGTAAATATTTGGGTTTTTATTATAGTACTTATCTGTCTGTATTTAATACAATCAATAATTTATTATTATTATAATAACAATAAACTTATCTGTCTATATTAATTACAATTAATAGTAATTAATTAGAAAATTGGTGAATTTAACATCTTTCACTTACAAGTTACTTATTATTGTCTTTATCAAAGTAGGTATTACAAACTGAACCCAGGCAGATGCCTTTATGTGAGAGGTTCTAATTAATACTCTGTAAGGGTCTTGTAGTGTAGATAGATAAAACAGTTGAATGAAACTAAAGTTACAATGTCAAAGCACAAATCTTTAAAACTACATGTTTACTAACTTTCCCATGTAACTTCGTCTGCAACAGAAGTTCGAAGGGAATAAATTTTGTAACATTTCTTATTGATGTTTCCCTCATATTGGTTGTAGCATGATGATAAATTGCCTATAATCTACCTCGATAAATGGACTACAATTATACTAAACAAGTTTTTCTAATCCACTAGTTTCAGAAATTGAGACAAACAAACTAAGCTTTATAATATAAGTATAGATAGATAATGGAGCATAAGAATGATATGCACACTATAACTGCTATTGTAATAATCAGTTATTAATTGGTTGAAATTGGAATATAATATACTATATGATAGTTGATATGCAATAGGTATTATTTTTTGATTGATGAAAATGGAATTTTCCTCTTGCATAGGCTTACTGTAGACAATAGTGAGATACTAGTGGAGGATGAAATCAAGTTAGTTGGTCCATTGTGATAAGTACAATGGGAAATAACCATAATAATTACCAGGAGTGATTGCATAGAGGTCAACCTGAGAGGTTGATGTACCATTGGTAATGGGGATCAATCTTCTCATTACTAACATCCCTTTCTCCCAGTTAGGGGTGGATAGGTGAGGATGAAAGTAGGTTAGTTTGCTCATTATGATGAGTTCATCATGGATTAATCACATTAGTTTCCAGTTTCTAGGGGTTATTGAGCAGTATACCAGTGAGAGATGTACAGGTGAAGATGAGTTAGATCAGTTAGTCTGTTGTGACCAATTTGATAATGGCAGGAGGATGTATCTAATAAGAAGGTATATTTCTAGCAATGAATACTAACACCCCCATTACCAAAATTTTCTTCGCTCAGTCTTTGTCTAAGCTGTCTCATTGTGGTTTCCTTAGAAACCGTTTCTGAATTTAGAAATTGCAATGGGGCAATTCAGTTGACAAGAGGAAAGGGATTGTTAATAATGGGATCTAACAGCCCCATAATTTGCAATATACTCTATAAGGTCGACCTCCATCTCCATCGACATCGTGGTTCATTGTAGAATTCGATAAAATAAACTTATACTTATTTAGGAAATACACAAAATGGTCACCGCTCAGCTAATTGTTTAGGCATTCAAGCATGACGCCTCGACGTAATCAATTAGTCTTCTCTCAGAATCGGCTTGCCAGATAGTTTGGGCGGGCGAGGTAGGGGCCTCGGGTTCCTAAACGCTGATTATCTGTGGAACCAATGGGTGTGGTAGATGGCGCTATCGAGTAGACATTACTATTTGAATATACAAGTATACTATTTGAGTGTGCAGACAGGTGGTGGCGTGGTGAGCCGCGTTATTGAGTTCCCTAAAATATGATTGAATGCAATGATGGCTGGCTTATCTGTCATACTCGTGCCTATAGGGACTAGTCTGCTCTGGTCACTGCAACTGATTTGTTTTAATTATATATTATGCTAGCAATTATTTCGATATCCGCGTGGTCTCCTGGGAACCATTAAGTTAACCTAATCGCTATAAGCTTACAATAATGTAAACAAAGTCAATTTCAGATTTATAATAAGATTTTTACAATCGATTCATTTCGAATACAATCGAGGATTAACTCCCGTGTTAATTATATGGCGATCGAATCCAGCGGTTTTATTTGCGCTGCAAAAATACTTTTTTGTTGCGAATCTAAAGTTTCTTGTATACACATGAATACGCATTCGAAATTCAAATAGTTATTTTCTATAAAATTTGTCTGTCTACGAAACTTATCGCACAATTGAAGTAGCTCTTTTTTCGGGTCAAAATGTACTTGTCTAAAATAGGAATATAGATGTGTTAAGACCTGGGATTATTACTAGTCCATATTAATTTTGTCGCAGAATCTACTTGTATTGAATCGTAATGGAACCTTCCGGTTGCGAGACCCACTCTCGACTTATTCATCTTTTTTTCATTCTTGCGATATTTTTGCTTCTAGTTAATTGGTTCAGCAACTTTGTGTGTTGCATTATTCCTATATTGGCCCTGTCTCCATGTTGGGTCGTTCAGCTAGGTAGACTCGCTATCCGGTTTGGACAAGGCGGCAAGGCGCACAGTTCGTTCACCCGTCGCCTTCTTGCATCGTAGACGATGCAATTTCACTACAGTTTTATGCTATGCTAATTCAAACCTATTTATTGCCGTGATATCAAATCGACTACTTCCCTTAATTTTTTTGTTTTAAATGTTTTGTATTACAAGGAAAGCAAACAAGACTGGCGATCGTCGTCTATATATATGAATGATATCATAATCACTATTATATACCCTTTGTACTTCCTAACATCCCAACCATTTTTAATTTTTGCACCCCGGCTGAGAATTTGGATTAGACGGTGTTATTATTCTTTTTTTTTTTTGATGGGTGAAAATGGTATGGTATCTCTGCCTGCGCTAACAGAATACGCTAGCGGAGCACCAGTGAAGGGTGATAAATGAGAATGAATATGTGTTATTATTCTTATACTTGACGATTTGCATGGGGAAGGGATTGTTAGTAATAGGGTCTAACAGTCGTATTGCTGGCAATATACCTTGACGTGGGGAAAGGGATTGTTAGTAATGGAGACTAAGAATCCCATTGCTAGCAATATACCCAACCAGGTCGACCTCCTCGCGGTTCCCCCTGGAAACTATCATGGTTAATTCCTGATGAATTCATCATTATGGGCTAACGGGTCTGTTTTAATTCTCATCAATCACCCTTCACTGGTGCTCCGCCAGCGTATCCTGTTAGTGCAGGCGGGGTTACCATTCCATTTTCACCCACTAAAAAAAACAGTCGCATTGCTGGCAATATGCCTTGACAGGTTGTCATCCACAGGGTTCCCTCTGGAAACCATTCTAGTTAATTATTGATGAATTCGTCACGATGGGCAGACTGATCTGCTTTTATTTTCACCAATCATCTTACTGGTGCCTCGCCAACGTATACCGATAGCGCAGGCGGGGTTATTTCATCTTCACCCAAAAAACTTCAAGAAAAAAAAAACACTTGGGTGTTTCTTTATATTAACAGCTAGTTCAGTTATAAACAAACAAACAGACTCATACGCATTTATTGGTATTATTAGCGTTACTCCTTTCAGCCTTTCCCATAGGCATTTTGTTTTCGCCAGTGAAGACATTGACCTCCTAACAGGGTGTGATTTGGGGTTATTGTCTCAGCCTGTACATGCGCATTAGCGCTACACGAGGTACTATAGAATACCTGGTTGCTAACCCACTCATCTTTCCGATAGTTATAAAGCTTCACCGCTTGCTTCATGATCGTGTAGGTCATTGAATAATGATGATCAGACTCGATTTTTTTTTTATAGACGTCAAAGTAGCCGTTTTTTAATAAAGCTATATCTGTATAAGATTTATGTTATAATTGAAAAATATTAAACGATATTTATGTCGTATTTCGTATATATATGTTTTATTTATTAAATACATTGCACCCCTTTATAATTCTGAACGCAACCTCTAGTCACCTAGATAAACGATATTTTTTGGGATATGTTTTAAGTTTTATTCAAAATACATCCTGAAAATTGTGGAGACACATAAAATGACTTTGTACATAAATTGTCGCATATGTAACAACACGCAGACAACATTTCGAAACTAGTGGCAGAATCATAAAAATATTTTTTTTCGCAGTCGAAAAAATGAATAGTTTTATTTGTAAACTTTTAATAGAAAAATGTTATTGTTTGTCAACAGGACAAGCTTTTCCCTTATGCTGAAGAGAATGTGAAGCAGTTCCTGGAAAGCAAGTGGGAAGAAGAGAAAGTGAAGGAGGCTGTAGATGCCCTCAGAAAGTTGGCGCTAGAGGACAAGGAGAAAAATGTGGAGGGCGTCGTTACCATTCCTGGAGAGGTATGTTGATAGGAATGCAGATTAATTCACCAACAGTTTCTTTAAGGGGTTGGCATAAAGAGAGTAACATGTGAGGACTATATTGGGCATTATCAGTTTATTGTGTAATGTCCTTGGTGCTGTTCATGTCTATACGCGCAGGTTACTATTTTCCATTAAGTGGGCAATCAGTTTGTTTGATATTTATGATAAAAAAAAAACTAATTTATACTTAATATGTATATTAATATATAATATTTACTAAATATTTAGACGTATTTTTTATTTAGTTACGTCTACATGTTATAAATTGTTATGATGGATGTGTCGTAATGCCAGGTTTCTATCGTCAGCGATTTTTGGTCGCTCATCACTCGCTGGCAATTTCAGATCAGTGAAATGCAAATTTGCTGAAGTGCTTCCGACATAAAACATCCAAATATTGATATGAGGCGTCTTAATAGAGCAGTAGAAGTCAACGATATTTTTTTGAAATTTTGTCTCTCAGTTTTTTTCGGCATAACATAAGAACTACTGTTTTCGTATTTATATTCCTAAATGTCTAAATCAAAATCTGGTGTATGCTTTATTTTGATACGGCATCTAGAAGCAGTTACTTACTTCAAAACGTACGAAATTGCGAAAAAAGTTGCAGAAACTAAATAATAATGTACATCTTTAAAGTATATTACATCCTTTAATTCCAGGATGCGACGAAAGAGGAGCAGATTGAGGGTCTAGTGAACAATGTGAAGTGGCAGATGTCTCTAGACCGCAAAGCGGGCCCGCTTAAATTGCTGCAAGGTCTCATTTGGAAGCAGGGTTACGACAACGGAGAGATCAAGGGACAGTGAGTGCCATTATGTTATAGAAGTAAAATTGTTTTAGTATTAACAAATTTTAAAAAGCTGAATTGACTGTATTTGTCTTGTAATTTTATTTTCACTCTATTTATTGCCAATTAATGTATTTTTTGGTTTTAACACAGTGAACTTGTTAGCTGAAAAGAATGGATAAGAAATTTACATTTCCTCTTTGCAATCAAAATTTTATTATTTTTTGTAAGTACAAATCAGGTTTCATATACACTGTTAGGGGTTTTTTTTAATGGGTGATAATGGAATGGTAACCCCGCCGGCGCTATCGGTATACAGTGGCGGGGCATACCGATAGATGTGAGAGTGAGAGATGATAGGTGAGTATAAAGCAGGTCAGTTAGCCCATCGTGATGAAATCAACAAGAATTGTTTACGGTGGTTTCCAGGAAGAACCACGTGGAGGTCAACCTAATAGAGTATTTTGCTAGCAATGGGACTGTTAAACTCCATTGTTAACAGTCCTTTTCTTCCCATACTATGAGAGTTATTAGTAATTGAACTAATAACTGACTACTAGCTTTTTTACATGCGACTTCGTCCGCGTGACCGGTATATGTTGATTGACCGGGACTAAAAGTTGTATATATCCTCCATTTCACATATTAGAGGTAACAAACAAACTCATTTTCACATTTATATTATTATTAAAGGTAAGATATTGAAGATGATGGATAGATCACCCTCAATTTCAACAAAATTTTTGTAAACACTTTCAATAAATCATAAACTTATATTGTGTCACAGATAATATAATACACTCCTCGCAAAAATTAAGGGAACATAAAAATTTTTGAAATTTTTGGGTGATTTTCAACAGGCTGTATTTCAGTGAAAAATAATCGTACAGGAAATTTAAAAAAAGGGTTTTGAAGCTTGAAAACTCTAGTTCGTAGTAAAAAAATCGAAAAAAATCAAGAAAATTTTATGCAGATAAAGAAACTCGGCACCCGCTTGCTGTGCGACCAGTAGTTCCAGAGATATTAGCAGTTGAATGGAAAAGGATGCTTTTGCATTCAAAGTTCGATATCTCGGAGACAAATGGTCGTAATTGAGCCATCCAAAGCGATTTTTGAAGCTGAATAAACACGCTAAGAGACCTATACAATGGAGTAGCTCGAAAAAATTTTTCCATGCCCATAGAGTGAAAAACGAAACCTAGAAAATTTAGAAAAAAATTATTTTCAGCTTTGTTTAAGAATTGCATGGAAACCGGAGCTCAAAAAATTTTTTCACCAAAAAATCTGAAAACTAGAGTTTTCAAGCTTCAAAACCCTTTTTTTAAATTTCCTGTACGATTATTTTTCACTGAAATACAGCCTGTTGAAAATCACCCAAAAATTTCAAAAATTTTTATGTTCCCTTAATTTTTGCGAGGAGTGTACTATACTGAGTTAAATGTTTATTTATGATAAGTCACTTGGAAATTTACTAATTGCATCCTAATTAAAATATATGGCCTGTTAGGCGAGAGATTTAATTGAAGTATTAAAACCCGTCGCTTATGATATTTAAATTATATGTTAACTACTCAACTTACCTACTAGAATTCAGCATAGGCTATTTATCTAAATATTATATTACTAATTTATATATTACTAGCGACCCGCCCCGGCTTCGCATGGGTGCAATGCCGCATAAATACACAATGTAATTAAGGTACTTAACTGGATAAAAATTAATGGTGTATTACTTAAAATAACTTTTAAATAAGCCATTTTTTCCCTTAAAATGTAAAGGATAAAAAATGGTTATTGTGGGTTATCCTTAAGAGATAGACATACCATCGCGGACTTTTTTGTTGACCTTTTTAAGGTGTACAATACTGTAGTACTTTATTTTGATTTATCTCATGGGGTTCAGCCAGCGTTTGCAATGTAAGCATAAAAAATGTGTTTATTTACGACATCACATTAGAAACCTCTAAATTTATCAGTGTTTCTCTGCAATATTATGCATGTATTATACATATAAACCATCCTCTTGAATCATTCTATGTATTAAAAAAAAACGCTTCTAAATCCGTTGTGTAGTTTTAAAGATTTAAGCATACATAGGGACGGACAGACAGCGACAGCGACTTTGTTTTATACTATGTAGTGATTAGTAACACATTCTGCCTTTGCATTGCGGATGCAAAATATCTATCTTACATACCCAAAACTTTAGTATGGATTTATTGTATTTATTATAAGACTTCATAAAAAATCTAAATAATAGTTAAACCCATATGAAAATCTGTTGTGGTTTAGAAAAAATAAGGGTAAAAACAGTTACAGCTACTTTATATTATTTAAAGATTCAAATGAACATTCAGAACATTTTATTTATACTTTCTACAGTAAAAAAACTTTTACTACATTAAGAATTGTATTATGAATTCCAGTGTATACGACGATGTCTCTCCTGCTCTGGAGCAGTGGCGCACTGTTGAAGGACAAAAGGTGTACATCTATTCATCTGGCTCTGTGGAAGCCCAGAAACTTCTTTTTGGACAATCGATGGCGGGCGACTTGCTTCCTTTCATTGATGGCCACTTTGATACTGCTGTTGGAGCCAAACAAGAGGCTGCTAGTTACACTACTATTGTTGAAAAGATCGGCTGCAAGTCTGATGAAATATTGTTCCTTACTGATATCGTAAAAGGTTAGTAACATTGTATAAATATAAATATATTCAGGCCCCTTTGTTATCTGCATTTAGTTTATCTCATATTCATTAAATACACAAATACGAATGTACAAGATAGACATAATGTAGATGTTTCTTCAATTTCGTCAATTAAAATTAGATATACAATATTATTATATATATGAACAAATATATGTTTTATTAATATGAGCATATTTAATAATTGGAAAGTAGAAAGTGACATGATATAATATCTCATATATTACAAAATTTATTGTTAAATTTATTTATTGTTTTTATGGACTTCAGTAATTTTTAGTCCATTAAAAGGATTTTGTATGGTCTGTAATGAGCTGAATTAATTTTTAAGAATAAATTCTAGCATCGAAAGTTACTAAAAACACCGCTAACAATTTAATCCGAGAATAGGCAATAGGCTGGCCCTTAGACACTTTGGATTGGAATAAGTTTTGTGAAATATCCATATCTTTTCATATCACACTTGTATGAATGAATTTGAATATTTCGCAAATGTAACACATTCTCCATAATAGTAATTGTCGATAAATGTTTTTGACAGGCGATGTAATTGAATGCTTGCATGTTTTTTATTGTAGTGTAGTCATCAAGTTGCAATAAAATATTTGTTACAGAGGCAGAAGCTGCCCGCGCGTCCGGCTTGCACGTGGCGCTAGTGAGCCGCGAGGGTAACGCCCCACTCCCCGCCGAGGCGACCGCTGCTTTTCCCGTGTTGCAAAGTCTAGCGCAACTGACTGTCACCAACAAACGCAAGACAGACCCTCAGGTGCTCCATACCCTGCCTCAGTAGCACGCTTCCATGCATGCACTATATAGTCTATTGTCTGTGTATAATATTGTAGGTGAGTATGTCGTAGGTTAGTGGTGCTACTGCTTGTGCTTGTTTAAGCTTATAAAACCCCAAACTGTTTTAGTTACTAAAGTGTTTTTTCTTTTAAATGTTAAAACAGCAGTAGTTAAAATAGATTTTTAGATTTTAATTTTCATGAATAACGGGGTTCTTATGTACAATGGGCGCATGACACGACTCGTAGTGGTGACTTTAGTACTCGACTATAGGGAAAATTGTTCAATAAATAAAATAAAATATACATAGAAATAAATGTTAATAGTATAGTAGATATTATAAGATTTTAACGTTATAGATAGCAAGCAAAATGTATGCAATTCTCAAAAATACAATATAGTATTTTTGCGACTGTATTGTGAAAATGTTCTGAAATTTAAGTGTCTCAGTGTAATTGTTTATATGTCTCCAAATATATTGTAACGTTAAATTAGTTTGATATCGAACATCCAGTAAATGAAAGAAAAGCAGTAATTGTTTTTCATTTGGAAGTTTATATTGAGAAATTTACCAGAGGGAGACTTTGTACAAAAGTCGATTGCTTGGGCACCTCTGTCCCATTCGTGTTTCAACCGTGAAGCAGTTGTGTTTGCATGACTGTGTTTCGGTTTGAAGGGTGGGATATGGCGTGAATTTACAGGGTACAGAGGAATAACACCTGAGTCCTCAGGAATGGCAACGCATGGGGGGTATCATGGGTGAAACAGTATAGTCTGCTATGTCCATGGTACTGCTCATGTCTATAGGCGACGGTTACCACTTTCCATCAGGTGGGCCGTCAGCTTGTTTGTCATTCTAAGTTGCATAAAAAAAAAAAAAAAAAAAAAAAAAAAAAAAAAAAAAAAAAAAAAAAAAAAAAAAATAGTTTGTGGGGGTGAACTATAGGGCTGTGGATCGGTTTGAAAAATGAAAGTATAGAGGCGAAATACCTTAGTCTTCAGTAATTGAAATGTATACGGGGTTAAGTTCGCGTCACAGTGTGTTCATAGAGTAATTCTGGGCTTTAAATTGTAAATTGTCCAAGTTGTATAAAAAAGTTTATAGTCGTCAGTTCATTTTGTCGTGTCATGCGTTTGTCTGTACAAAAGTAATTCGTTTATGTGGTAAATAATATGTAATATATGTAAATTTTGTTGGACAGGATTCTTACCTCTTTATGTGTATTAACAATTGGTAATAACAGCCTTACACTTATAGAAGTTGTTTTAGATATTTTAGAATACTGAAGTAGAAAAAGTGAGATTATAATTTTAATGATGATTGTTTTTATGTGATAACTTCAAGTTTGTTTATGTAATTTTATAAAATACTTTCTAAATAAACTCTTTCCAAATTTAAAGACATGTTTTGCTTTTGTCACACTTCTTCACACTTTATCAAATATATTATTATTAATTTACTTCGTTTTGTTTGTTTTTTATTATTATTGTATTGATGTTTATAAAATAAATTAGAGATATATATGCTGGAGGTGGTGGTAGTCGAGGACTTACATCCTTATTCGTAAACCCTATTTTAGCTATTGAAATGTTTTTTTCACTTTCTTTAATATTAAAAAAAATAGTGCAAAAGTAAAAATAAAACACATCAATAGCTGAAATAGGTTTATGAGAGTTTTAACGTTTTTATGAATAAGGGGTTTAATATGGTAGACAAATAGACGTTACGAATATATATTGGGTACTTATATAATATTATTTGCATGAATTGTAAATCTTATGTTTTGCTTTGTGAACTAAATTCTATAAATGTTCATGAATTATTTAATAGTTAGGATATCATAAAAATAAAATTATAGTATCTTTGTTTTTGTCTTGAATGGTGGATTTCCTGCAGATGCCCATTGAATCCCTAAAAATAGACCAATCTAGTCTCAAGTATTGAAATATCGTAGGTAACTCATATCATTTGGATAAATAGATTAATGAAGTTAATAGATATAGGAATTTTAATTCTTAGCAACTTTAAAAAGGATATGGTTCCCAATTCAACTTTTTTTTTGTATATATGTTGTGCGATATCTTCTTCAATTCTTAACCGATTTTAATAATTTTGCAATTGTAGTAAGTGAACCTTGTTCATTTGGAGCGAGACTTGTCATTACACAGTTTTTAATTAACACGTGAGGTAATACATTTAAACTGTGTATCCACAAACGTTTTTGTTAACGGCATTTAAGATCTATGTATATAAACGATTGTAATTAAGTTTGAAATAAAACAATTTTTTTATAATCTTAATTATATCAAGATTAAATTTAATATTATTTTTTTCTCAATGAAGTTATAAATCAAAATTATACATAGTAGATAAAGTATGACTAACGAAATGTAAAGAGTTTTTCATAGTAAACTATTAAAAATTTTATGTAACTCATTTTTGGATAAAAATGATTTAAAATAAATTGAAGAAGATTTTTGGATTGTGAGTAGCCTTGATTTTACCAAAATTAATTTTTTTTTTATTCAGTTTTTATAATTGTGGAGATGGTAAATATAAATACTCTAAATCTTATCTTGTCTTACTCATTGAAATAATTTAACTATTAAACTAACATTATTTAGAGTTTATCCAGGCTAATAAATTCAAATTACGAATTTGAATCTGGGAAAGTCTATAATCTACCTATCTTTTATGTTTAATATATCACATTCATGCTGTTTTTGTCTAAATTATTCAATAAATAAATTTCAGGAAGAACAACCAGCTAAAGTAGCAAAAACAGATGTAGAGAAGGATGTGAAGACAACAGTGGAAACAAATACAGCTGAAGTTACTACTGTTAAGGAATCTAATAATGTAGAAAGTATGGAAGTAGAAGAAACTCCCATTGAAGAGAAAGTGAAAGAAAGCAATAATGATCTGGAAATGACAGATGAAGTCACCTCAAAGACAGAGATAAAAGAAATCACAGATGCCAATGAAGTTGCTGATATACCTACATTAAATATTAAACCAGTTATAATTGAAGATAATGTTGATAAGGTTAATGAAACCGAGGCTCAAAAGATGGATACTGAAGTAGCTAATTCTGATACAGAAAAACTAGATACAGAGAAGACGGATACTGAAAAGATGGACACTGAATTATCTAATTCTGATGTACCTACCTCTGATGAGTCTACTAAACCACAAGAAAATTCTGATTTAAAGAAAGAAGAGAAAACTCAGTCTGTTTCTGAAGAAATACCCGCAGTAGTTATCACGGAAATAGAAGATGTAAGCGACAAACAAACGCTTAGTGAGGTTGCAGAGATCATTGAGGATTTGGAACCAGTAGTCGAGGAACCTGCTGTTGTAGAAGATATGGAAGAATTACAAAATGTTGGAGAGGTTCTAGAAAAAGAATGTGATGAAATTTTGTCAAAAGTGCAAGATGTAACTAATTTAGATAATATACCTCTCAAGCCTTTACTAAATCCTATTGCAGAAGAAACAATAGAAACTGATAATGTAGACTCAAACGATATTGTGGATAGAATACTCGATACTGAACTAGAAATGGAAATGAAACAATGCAATGACATAGATTTGAATACAGTGGAAGAAATAAAAGAAACAAAGACTGACAAAGAGAGTGACAAACCTGTACAAGAAGAAGTAAATGATACTACTACACCTGTAACAAATGATGTTCCTGAAGAAAAGACTACAGAAACTGAAGTAGAGGCCAATAATGTAATAGAGAAAGTTGAAGAGAGTAGTCCCACAGAAACAGAAACTACCCTAGAATGTAAACCAGAAGAAGTAGAGAAAGAAAAAGAGAAACCAGTTGAAATCGAGAGCAATGACGCATCAACAGTACAGAAACCTACAGAAAATTCTGATTCCATTGTGACACTTTCAGAAGAAATTAAGGAAGAGGAAAAACTTAAAGAAGTTGAAACCGAAAGTGAAGTTAAGGAACCACATGTTAATGGCAAAGACACAAATGGAGATGCAGAGACGTTGAATTTAAATGGAGATGCGAGTAAAGTTGAAGAGTTAAACTCTAGGTTGTCTGTAGAAAATGGCAAAGAAGTAGTGAATGGCTCAAATGGGGACTCTAGGGATTCTGAGAAAGTGCAAATCGACAACGTAGCGGAAGCTGATATTAAAGTGAAGACAGTCGCTGTCGAAGAGCCGCGTACTGATCCAATAGAGCAACCTACGGAAGCATAAGATAACTTGGTAAGTAATATTTAAAAAATAAATAATGATTTTTTCATTCTTGTTATGACTTTTGAAATCATTTAAAAATAAAACAGGCAATAAAATTAAATTTCAGAATTTCATAATGTCATAGGGTATTCTATAAAGTCTATAATTATATTCTTGTTTTTTTTTATTGATGAACGAATATGGCGAGCTCTGGACCGTTCTTTATGGTAGTGTATGGGGGAGGCTTATATCCAGCAATGGACGAATAATGGCTGAAATGATGATGATGCATATGACGAGACATGGGATTAAGTTGGGTTTGTTTGTTTATAATGGTGAAGTCGCTATCCTGACAGCATATAAGTATTACTAGTAATGGAGTATTGTCCCTATTAGTAATAATCTCTTCTCTCATGTTGTCTATAGGCAACGTTCGGCCTAGTGTCATTCTAATAACCATTACATAAAAAAAAATCATGATTCCAGTGTGCGACGGGCGAAACAGCAGGGCATAGCAGCGTTGTTGGTTCACATCTGAAGATTGACAAGACTGAGGTTGCTTCCACGCTAATGACATCACATCCTAGTATATATGTGTATTGAAATTTCACTGTGTACCGCGCGACCGACGGTGTATACTGCTAACGCACAAAAATTTTACACAATATGGTCATCATTGATCATTGGTTGCAGTTTAAATTGATAGTGTTGTAATAATAGAGAAATGCTAGTGGCTGATTTTATAATTTGTCATAGAGCAACATGGTATGATTTTACTGACACGGCGTCAATAGGAGAGGAAAATGTATGCAATTCTATAGAGATTAATGTATTAATTTTACACGGCGTGAACGTGTACGTGCACGAAAATTTAAAAACGTTTGTTACACATATTTTTCTTCATATTGTACAATATTTTGTTGTTCTATGACAGTATAAAAACGTCAATTAAGCTCGTACAGTAAATAATGAGAAGGATATTCTTTTTTGCCACGTTTTTGGCATACTTTTAAATCATGTCTGTTTGTACATTTATTTTCATAGTGTTATCACTATAAAATCTGAAATGTTAAGCCCCAAAGACGGTCAATTTTCTAAAAATGATTCACGAAAATTATATTTTAGGTTTAAAATTATATCTCTCAATTTTCATTATAATCTGTTTTGTAGTTTACACTTCAAAACTTTTCAAGTAGACATACTTTGGTATTTATTATATTGTTAAGTTAAACGTTGTAATACTTGATTACGTTGTAATCAAGTGGCCTAAATAGGTGACGTGAACAGTATTATTTTTTTATAGCGTATTTAAAAAAAATATTTTTTGTATTGAGAATTTCCTACGCCATCAATATCCCTAATAGGATTCTATTATAAGTATTATTATTGACATTAATTCTAAATGAAGGATTTATGTAATTTAACTATTCATATATATTAATGGGATGGAACTTTTGTTCTCCTAATTAAACATTCCTATTCCCCTGTTACGATAAGTGACAATACTTTTACAATTTTATATTTTTTTATAAAAGCCAATTTCGGTGCTTATACATAGTGCAAGGTTAGCAGTGTACATTGATCGTAGCTTATTTGACTTAGGTAAGTTTTATTAGTAAGTATTAACTGTATTGTGATTCTTAATTATCGTATATATTACTCGATTTTCTTGAATTTCATCCACTGCCAAACTCGTGTCGCACATTTGACGCTGGGTAACTGAGTTATTGTGATATTGAAACGGATTATAAGACTGTAATACGATTAGTAACTGATGTGTGGGCTGTGCTAGTAAGGTATTTATTAAACTAGGTGCGAGGAGTTAACGCATTCGTATGCGTTTGAGAATTAGTTCTGTATTTTTTTTTTTTTTTATTTTAAAATATTATAGATCTCTACTTTGACTCTTGCGTACGATAATATAAATAAATGTCAATTATGATGTCACACATAATTTGTAAAATTAAAAGTATTTGTACGCAATTGTGGTACAAAAACGTTTTTTTATTACAAATTTTATAATGGTTTGTCTGCTAGGTATTACTCTTTTTTTTTACAGCAGATAAAGGCGAGTAAGTTTTATAAAATGTTTGTGTTTACGCGTTTTATGTTCTGAATGTGGAATGAATTTTGTATGTATATCGGAGTCTGTAAATAAGTGATAGGCTTGGGGATTGTATCGGAGATGGTAGGTCAGATTTAATTAATTTGTATGGTAATGTGTTAAATAAACATCAAATGAACTTCAAACAAGGACGAAGAGCTATCCACCTTTGGTCATTGTTCGAATTTTGGCGTGATACAATGTATGATGTCTGTTTCTATTAGTTATTATAAAGACGGAGTAACGAATAAACGACAGGGATCAGAACACTGCTAAAAGGAATAAGAAAAATATAATGAAATTATTGATGAAATAAATTGGGGTGGGGAGAAAAGAGCATTGACTCGTTTTGTCTAATTCCATCATAATGATAATATATTATTTTCACGTGCTTTAAGTGCACGTCGCCACCAGTCGAAAAATGGCCTCTTTATAAACTAGTCAAAGGTATTAGAATCTCAGACTTCGACGTGACTGTTTGATAATTAACATACCTACACGAAGATACTATTTTTTTATTTTTATTTTTTTTTTAAATTAATGTCTTAGCTTCCATAGTACTTAGTTATTAGGCCAAACGGGAACGAGGGTCAGTATACCAACATCAAATGTGCGCGCGAGCCTCTTCGTTTAGACTGATTTTTTACTTGTCACTATTTTCGTCACAATTATTATCTCCGCTTCAGAATAAAGACTTGCCAAGTTTCAATAAATTGATTTCCGGGTTGAGATAATGAATGTGAGACAAACGTAACAGTAAGGTACCTAATCTAAAATATTTTAAGTTCATACATTTATTGTAAAAATGAACATGTCTGGAACGCAATTGAAATGTATTAATTTTAATTGTCATCACTAATGACGTTGAAATATAATGGATGTAGAATTTTTTATTCGTATTTCATTTTATCTCCTTATGATTTATAAGTATAATTTATCAAGCGTTCAATTTCTTAACACTATTTTTGTTAAGAGTAGATTTTAAATACCTTAGTTACCTCAATGCTTCATACTTTTAATGTGGGGTTGTAAGTTGGGTATATTTTTTGCCTTTCAATTTTCGACATCTCTGAAGTGTAAAGAATAAATATAAGTACTCTTAAAAAACAATTGTGTTTTTATAGAACTGATAACAAAAGTTTTAAAACGAAAGATTATTGCATACTAGTCGTATTCCACGACTTTACCCGTATGAATCAGTACATGAAATATTTTATGTGCTAATTTAGAATATAGCTTGTATATACCAATTTTCATTAAATTTTGTTTGTAGTCTTCGTGAAAGAGTAACAAACATTCATTCAACTATATAAACTTAAGTATTTACAATAATATTATTTAATTAGAATTAAAGAAAATTAATTAACCAGTGTTATTGATTTCCGAAAAATAAAACCTAATGCAGTGATATAAGACTCAAAGTCGGTCCAAAGTTATTGAAGATATTGAATAACGTACTAAAGAATAAGCTCTTTTGAAGTTGCTTAAAAAATGTGGACAAAGTCAATCATGCCATGATTGTTATACACAATTAGTTGATTTTTTTAGATTTGACTACATTCTGGGCATAAAAAAGGGGCCAGTTCCACTTGTCACTAGCAACTTTACTCATTCACTACTTTCCCACCACTAAGAGATTGGTGTTTTATTTTAACTACGAATATCTTGACACGGAATATAATTTTATAGGGAACAGAATAAACGCTCTAATTTACTTCAAATACGTTGAAATAAAAAACATAAATGATTTCTCTGCTATCTTTCTACTCGTAACTTCACTGTCCAGGATAAGGAGTAGCCTATGTCCTTCGTTCCATAAAGTAGGTGTTTAGAAAATTTTAAAGCGATGGGTTAGCATTTTAAGGCGCTATAACTAACATAATATTTAGTAAAGATGTAATATAAAAAAGGAAATAGGCAAGTTAAATAAACAATAAACTTTCTACAAATATTTTGTAAATGCATGTCACAAAACTTATACACTAATCCTTACAGCTCCTAGTCCATTGTAGGCAAGGGTCGACCATGAAATAAAATTCCGAATTTTCAGACTCAATTTCGTGTTTTCGTTCATGCTGAAATCGACCCAGTAAATGGATTTAATGTTTTGTTCATCATAAATCCTATTATAAAAGTCCAAAGGTATAATATTTTTAAATGATATGTATATATTACGTAATTTTAAGAACAAATTTGTGTTTCGTTCGGCCTCGAAATTTCGGAAAATATTTTTGGTAGGCCTCTCTATACATATTATATATCTGAGTAACATTACTTTCCTACTCTTAGCTGAAAATATGCTCACTGTAATCCCTAATGGGGTAATCAGAGGCATTTATTTACCCAGCGTTATGGTGAATGCAACATAAAGGTATACCACATACTCACATTTCACTATACATATTACGAATTAACTGTGGCAAGGAATGAGTCTACCATCTTTATTTAATGGTGTTTCCCATTACCGGAGAGTTAGTCGGTAAATTTATTTTATAAATGCTGTCAAAGTTTTGTGTCAAGACTTTTTTTTAATTAGTAAAATTGATTGGTAACACCATCTATGCTATTGGTATTTGCTGACGGGGTGGGTGACTTACTAGTGGGTGATGATAGATTAAGATGAACTCAGGTCAGTTTGATCTATTGTAGCGAATTTACCAGATCGTTCTTACTGGAATCACAAGTGTTTATAGTAAGGACGACGTGGAATTCGACCTGGCAGCGTATATTACTAGCAATTCCTCCCCCACTTACGGCTTTTCGACTAGGCCCATGTTGCTAACGAACGTGTGAGGACAAAATACAGAGAGCTTAGTGTAAGTTGCACAAAAATTTATAATTGTATTCACGTTTACTTTATTCAATAAGTTTGGAAATTTTAACTATGTCTTTAGAGGAGAAAGATATTGTTAATAATAGTGTCTAACTGCCCCGTTGCTAGCAATATACTCTATCAGGTCGATCTTCACGCGCTTATCCCATAAACCATCGTGGTTAATAATTTTTCAATAATTACAATTATTCAATAAATTATTAATATTAATAATTAATAAATTATAATAATATTATTGTTGAATAGTTTTTTTTTTATGGGTGAAAATGAAATGGTAACAACGCCTGCGTTAATAGAATACGCTGGCGGAGCACCAGTAAAGGGTGATAGATGAGAATGAAAACAGGCCCGTTAGCCCATCATGATGAATTCATCAGGAATTAACCATGATAGTTTCCAGGGAGAACCGCGAGGAGTTCGACCTGGTTGGGTATATTGCTAGCAATGGGATTCTCAGTTTCCATTACTAACAATCCCTTTCCCCCATTGTTGAATAATTTGTCATGATAGATCAACTGACCTGATCCATCTTCTTATCATTCCTTAATGGTGCCCCGTCAGTGTATACTGATAGCGCAGCCAGTTACTTATTTATACCCATTAAATAAAACTGTCTTTAGCGAATTGTTGCAATAACTCATGGAAGATTTTTGTGCAAAATTAAAATCAGTAGCTAGTCTGAACTTCAGTAATTCAGATTCGAGTTAAATTATAAAAGTTCATTTCCTACATTCATTCAACCGAGAATAGTATCCAAAACCTCATTTACACAAAGCAACGTACATATTACTGCATGTCCTGGAGCAGATATTGTCAAAATAAAACTTTATTTTAAGACATATAGATTATTGAATTAATTAAAGATTAGTAGCTATGTATTATCATTTTTTAACAAAATAAAACCACACATTTCTGTCGAATAAAGCTCGTAAAATTACAAGCCGCGGTTCAATATTGTTTCGTATTGTACTTAATATACGTACTATGTCTAACAGATGGCGCTGTTGTCAGTTCGCGCGCACTCCCGTAGCTCGAAGCGTTCTGAATTATACGGAGTTTGATTCGCATGTAATTGCCTATCTAGGCTGATTCAGGCATAATTAGCTCAGAGAACTATTATGAATATTATTTATAAATAAATAATTAATTATTCAAATTCTACATAAACACCTGTAAACAAAATAGATACTTAACTTTTCATTTATTATTTATTAATTTTTACCCGCCACTTCGTCCACGTGACCGGGATATTTTCACTGATGAATAAAAAGCTTATTTACTTCTTTATTCCATATACATATTAGGTATATACGAAATTTTATAGTAATTGGTTAAGCGCTAAGAGGTAACAAATAAACAAACTTACTTTCACATTTATAATATCAGTAAGGAAGTAGGAATTATTTCTATCTATTTCCGTTGCCGAAAAAAGGTGTCTATTTTAAATTTTAAAGTAGACTATTGTGCATAGAAAATAGTATAAAATAGGTAAATTGTACCTATACTTATCTTATCCATTTGTATATTTTTCAATTTAAAAAAATCTTAATTCGCCTGTAGGATTTTTTGTATGTATCGTACGCATATTTCCACCAACTCCGAACCGATTTTGATAATTCTTTTTTGCATTCGATACAGTTTAGTTTCTTTTGTACTGGTTCCATTTTAATATTGTCACGACTGAAGTTTGTTTGTGGAACAATCGTGCTTATGGCACCTCGATTTTCTATTAAATATGTATACTTATAGTTGTTTATTTATTGCTACAAAAAGGCTTTATAATATAATAAATGATTGGTCAGTTGATCAATGATTAGCTTTTACACAATGAATACATACTAAGCTCGCAAGTTGGCAATCCTCATATTTTTTTATCACCTAGAATGTTACTGCTTCCACAGACAATACTATGCTATCTACCTATAATTTTTTTTTGATGGGTGAAAATGGTATGGTAACCCTACCCTGCCTGCGCTAACGGGATACGCTGGCGGAGCACCAGTGAAGGGTGATAGATGAGAATGAAAACAGGCCAGTTAGCCCATCAAGATGAATTCGTCATGAATTAACCAGGATAGTTTCTAGGGGGAACCGCGAGGAGGTCGACTTGGTTGGGTATATTGCTAGCAATGGGATTCTCAGTCTTTATTACTAACAATCCCTTTCCCCCCATATCTACCTATAACAGTACTACATCGCAGGTAAAGAATTGTACTGTGCACACTCTACACTTATGTAGATGATAACCAAAAGCTAATAATGGAAGGTCTGCGCAAAATTCGGTACAAGCGGGTAGTGGAAATGCGAGGTGATGTGGAGGTTATGAATACAAAAGGTATAGAATTGTTCAGCATTGCGGTCGGGGAACGGAACGCAACGGGCGTGAACCGGCGCGCGCTGCTGTGGGGACTATTCTAAGAGTTCTACGACCAGAGCAGGATATTCGAAACGTAGCGAGCGATTTTTATTACGTGACAATTTGTCTACACAAATGTTTATGTAGACGTTACGCTATGTTACAATTAGTTGATTAGTTGTAAGAGAATGCTTCGATACACTCGGCGAGCTATTCGAAATCTAGAAAGTGGCTAGTGCGGAAGAATTACAATAATCGATACTGTCCGAAGAATATGCAAGCTGAAGTGACATGCATGCACATAATTCGAGTAACTGATAGAAAAAGTCCTCGTGAGTGGCGACTCCGTGCATATAAACATAGTGTGGGGCGCCATCTTGCAATATGGAATTAGATCACAAAATTTTGTAGAGAATCAATTTATGCAAGTGACGCGAAATCATAATTTGTGATACTGACTGATCATCATGAGATGATGAATCAAATAAAATAAGTTTTTTTAACTTTAGAATTATCAAAAGGAATCAAGTAAGAATGATTTAGAATTAGTAAAAATAAAATATACAAATGTAATTGAAATTTTAGATAAAACGTCAACTCTATTATTAATATTATAAATGCGAAAGTTTGTAACGATGAATAGATGGGGGTTTGTTATTTTTTCACGAAAATTACTTCAATACTTAAGAATTGTATTTGTGT